GGTGGACTGCAAGTTACGTGGCTATTCAAGCAGAAGTTTGCAATGTGCGGACTGTGTGGACTTATGTGTATTGTAATGTTGGCTTAAATGAGGACTTAAGTACGTACAATTTGAGATAGAGATAAGATAAGAGAACCTTCTTTTCATCCCACAGTGGGGAAATGTCAATGTTGCAGCGCACACACAGGACAGTAGTAAGAGCACACTGGGACCACACAAAAATATATAAAATAAGTAGTAGCTATTGGATTTGTGATATACATGTTCTGAAAAAAAAAAAAATCCTGAGAAGTTTGCACAGTACCTATATTCACTGATATGATACCGTTATTGACCGTTTATTGGTTTGATGTTATCAATTCAGTTGATATATTGAGTAATAGCCTTTTTTATGGATGTAATAAGTCTGTTTAAGAGCCAGCAGTTCTGTTGTTGCTTACAGGATCAACAGCTGGTTTAAAACACAAATGGACAGATTTGGAATAAGTTAGCTGGGGGCTAAAAATGCTTGCTACATGCACACGGATTGCGGTAGATCGTCGGTGCATCCTAATTCTAAGTGGTCTTCTAAGCAGTTTGAGATCAGATGCATTTTCTTTGATCCATCCTGTTCTGCTTTTGCTCTGATGCAGACCAAAGTTTCTTTCTATATTAAACCTTATTCTAACTTTCAAACTTTAACTTTGTGAAAAGTTTAAAAGAGAAGACCACCCTCACACAGCTGTCAAATAGTGACTCATATGGTCTCTCACAGAGCTTGAAGGCTGTCATGAAGCCCTCTGTTGGGCCAAACAAACATGTATTATCAATGAAAAAACAGTTAGTCACCTGAGATTTTAATTTTTCTGAACAATCTAAAAATATACACTGAGAAACTTTGTGATCCCTTGATATCAGAAATATATTCATGTTGTTTTCCCATCACAAACTAAAATGGCGCTATACAGATAATTTATCCTGGAATGGAAAGTTTAAAATGTGCTTGAATGCATGCTTAAAACAACAGTAATGCTATTCGTATCATATCCAAAATCCTATCAGGAAGTGTGTGTGTGAATCATCTCATGAATCAAACAGTTTCCAGCTCAAATGCACTCAGATCGTTGTCAGCTTGGTGTATATTTTCATAGTTTCAAAGTCAAGTGTTGAATTGACAAATCTGATGAAAACAATCAATTTGGCTCGCTTTCTCCACGCTCTAAACTCTTTTTGTTTACACTCCCCCAAAGAGAAATGGTCTTAGTTTTTGGCTTACTATTGTAATTCATCAAATCTAGTGGGAGTCGTTGGCTCTTCAAAGACCATAATATGTTTTAGCATTTAAATGTTCTGCTTCTTGTTATAAATCAGTTTTATGCATATTACATGATGTAGTGTTGTTGCACAGAGGCGCCTCCTGAACTCATGTGAAACCGTGCATACCATGAAGTTTGGTGCTTTTGTTTACCCAGCTGCACAGTGATGGGGAGAATACGCACACTTGTGGTCGGACATAACACATAGACACAACAAAATGAACTGTCTGAAGCCTTGAAATATGGCTAAATGCTCCAAATGTACCTAATTCGTTGGTGTTGATGCTGATGCGGAGTGACCATAAGCTGATATACAGAGTTCATGAGGGCAGTGGGGATTAACATGTGGACGTGCTGGGGGCAGGGTACTTGGGGGGATTTCAAGTGTGAAGTCCAACAAGTTAAGCCAAGAATTATTCAAAACACACACATGCACACAGGTCTGTACAAACGGAAACACATTATAAAGGATGTTCTGCGTGGTTTTTGTCATTTCATGTTTTTAAATGTGAAAGAATATCTTGAATAGAAATATATGGAATATTCATTGCAGATATATATTGGAAAAACTCCTTTGATGAAAAGGGAAGAGTTAATCTATTTCCAATTAAAAGCTGCAAACACAACCATGTGATTGTTAAGAATGTACTTTTTGTGAGATAATACTCAGACTAATTTATTGGCAATACTTTTGTTTAAAAAGGCAGAAAACAGAGTGTGAGGTGTACAATGACGTCATACTATTACAGCACTGAGACAGGAGCTTTTAGACAGAAGGGGCGGGTTACATGTTTGTGCCAGAAGTTCCTAATATTAGCATGGATGGTTCTCAAAACAAGGTCTGGTGTCGTGGAGTGCTCCGAATAGGCAATGTCCAAATAAAGTTATGGGTCATTAGCAGGAGAGACCTTACATATTTGGAAAAGGGGACTGGTGGTTCTTCCGCTGCTGTGATTGACAGAGGAATCCTTGCAAAACATGACAGAAAGGAACGATGGAATGAGACAATGACAGATGGTAATGGCAGCAAGAATCAAACCATTTCAGCTTCACTCACTGTTGCAGATGTGATGGCTCCACCAGGACCTGCATGGCCTTTGAAACCAAGTGTGGGTGTGGCCAGAGTCAAACAAATGGCGACCCATCCTTAGTTTCTTAGGACATGAAGATTGCTCGCTCGATGGATTGTTTTTTTGTTGTATTTTTATTAATAAAATATATTCTGTCTGCATTCACCTGTATTATTGTCTGAATGGTTTCACATTAACCTGTTTACATGTGTATGCCTTGGATGACTGGGAATTACAGTGTCAAAAACTAATAGTGAACTGATGCCTTTGACCACAATGTGTGAGTTATGCAGCCAAGATACAGATGTCAGATTTATAACATGACACATGACGTAGTTTAGCTCATTGTGGACTACTGTGGGGCTACAGAAGAAAATTAGCTATAGCTACAGTCTGTTGTATCTATAGATCCTGTTGATTATGAATACGCCCTGTCCCATGCAATTAACTTGCAACTTGTCAAATGTATGCGGATGACACAATAATCTATGTGGCGGCAGACACCTCTCAACAGGCCTCAGAAACATTAAACAGACAGTTAAGTGAAGTATCAACATGGGTTGAAAATAACTGTTTAACTCTGAACTATGATAAAACTGTCTCAATGTGTTTTTCTCTGAAGAAACAATCACTAAATGAAATTGAGGTCAGCGTTAATCAACATAAAATAAAACAAGTTAAGGAGTTTAAATACCTGGGTGTTATTTTGGACCCTAAGTTAAGTTTTGATCGGCATGTTAAAAAAATGACTAAGACCATAAAAAGAAATATAAATTGTTTCAAGTTGATTAGACCCTGCTTATCAGTTCAAGCTGCACGAGTTTACATGCATGCTATGATATTATCCCACATGTCTTATTGTGCCATTGTCTGGGGTCAGGCCACAAAGTCTGTAGTGAAGCCTTTGTTATCATTATATAAACAAACACTCAAAATATATGATCGAAAGCCAATGAAGCATCATCACTGCCAAATTACTGAAAAATACAACATGATGAGTTTTGATAATTTTATACATTTTACCTTTTTAAAAGCTTTGTTTAAGTGTCTTAATGGATTAGCCCCTGAAGTAATGTGTAAAAACATCCAAAGGTGCAGCAGTGAGGGTGTGCAGACTCGAGCTGCAGTCAGTGGGAGCTGCAGAGTGAGAAGGTGCCGGACGACTCTGGGTCAGTCTGCATTCTCAGTGAAGGCCTCACATCTGTGGAACTCTTTGCCGCTGGAGCTGAAGTCACAGTCGGACACTAGACTTTTCTCCACTAAACTGAAAAAGTGGCTTAAGGAAAATCAGAAGTGTGAGCACTAAACCTGAATGTAGTATGGACAAATGGAGTCAGTTATTTTTATTGATGTGTGGTTGTTCTTTTCTCCCCTTTTTTAAAAAAATCTTGTTTCTTCGCTTTCTCCAAAAGCCTAACCAGGGACGGGGGCTGCAAATTAGCCTTTGGCTAGAAGCCTTGTGTACTTCACATCGGTTACCTGTGTATGACAATGTGTTTTTGTACTGTCCCTGTCAAATAAATAAATAAATAAAAAAAATAAAATAAATAAACAAATCATTAAAGTATACCTTATTCTTAAACTCCATGATTATGAAAGTTAGATAGATGTTGGCATTGAATTACATGCCAAGTAGTCATAGATGTCTTCATATTGTAGATGTTCTCCATGCTACACATTCCATCTCTTCCTCCTATCACCTATCCTTTTCCACCAAGTTGTCCATGTGAAATCTCCAGGTGATTACTTTGTAGACCGTGCCAAACTCAGAGGTCCTTTTAAATAGTTTTACAGATGGGGACCGAGCACTGTATTTCAGTTTCATTTCCTCTGTTTGGTCCCCAATGATCAGGAAGTGCCAGCATAAGTGATTCATTTTGTGTCAAAATCAGTATGGCTTTGAGGTCCACTGTGGAGATATCTGCATTTTAAATCCTTTATCTGATACAGATAATAGGGTTCAAAGGGATGTTTGAAATAATAATAGCATGGGAAAGAAACTGTGCAAAGGAAAGAAGTTGGTGTGGTGCAGGGGAACCCATATTTTTGGTTATATTAAGTTTAAATACAAAGTGTACTTAATAAAATAACTTTGTGTTTTTCTGATATTTAGAAACGACATTGTGAAGCAAGTATCAATGGTAAAACATGCTATTAGCACTAACCCTAAGCTACCACCAGAGGAAGGGGTATGGTGTTGTTATATAATATAATATAATATATATAATAAAATCACAGCCAGTGTAAAGAGCAATATTTCACCTGAGAAATTGTCAAAAATAATTTATGGACGTGATATCATAGTGGTGAGGATAGTGGTACAATTGCATAATGTTACAGGAACTGAGACAGGAGCTTTTAGCGTGGATGGATCTAAAATCAATTCCAGGTCTGTTTTAATGAGTGTTGTATTCTGGTTAGAATTTTCTTGACATACCTCCTTTGAATGGTGTACCGGCTTTTGAAGATTTTTACCTTTTCACTTTACAATAGAAATAAGCAATGACAGATTGTGAGAATGGCGAGGGAGAGAGCAAGAGTAACCTCCTACACAATTTTCTCATTTAGGCTGTAAATAAAACATGAGGAAGGAACCCTGCAAGGATTTAGAAAGTGAAACTCAAAAGAAAGTCCAATGTCTGCCCTTGTCGCTGGTGATTGAACTGCTGTTTTGTGCACAGTGCATTGTGTGGGCTCACTTGGCTCTGTAATGCCTTTCTTTCAGATGTTAACGAATGTGAAGTGGACCAAGGCGGCTGTGAGGGCTTCTGCTGCAACGTCATCGGCAGCTACTACTGCAAGTGTCCGGACGGGAGGAGGCTGGGACCAGACGGCAAGTCCTGTCAGGGTAAGATGGCCGTGGGCTGTGCATCAGATGAGATTTCTTTGTCCTCCAGACTCGTGTTGAAAAGCTGTGTCGATGTTGCTGTTTTGTTTGTAGCCGTGTCTGCTTTTTCTGTGCAAAACAGACTTCTGACTTGCAAAACTCATCATCTAAAGTCACAGTGTACCCAGGAAAGATTGAAACACATTCTAGTAGTAATTTCAAATGTATGCAAAATTAAACTATATACACAAGAAACCCCAGAAATAAACCGTTTGAAAAAAAGGTGAGACTAAGCTGAGCTATAATAATGGACTACGGAAAGCTTAATATCCACAATGGCCAATATAAACATTTTTACAAGACCAACTTTATAAAGGAAAAAGCAGCTTATTCTTCAGCCCAAACTTTAATGGTAAGAGCTTCTCAGATGTCCAAAAGAGCTTCACTCTGGTAACACAATCATTTCTCTTATGCATACCACGCCATCACAGATCATCCGGAAGTGCATGGGGTCTTAATCCCATCTACACGGAAGGACAGAAGTAAGGTTAGGGGTGAGCGGTTAGCGGTGAGGGGAAGGGACATCTAAGATTTTGTGAAATCTGGTTTGTCTAGTGAAGATATCCTGTGTATTATCTCATATTGATGCCTTTTAATATTCTCCTCAAACAATCCGAGTAACCTTTCCTTACCTTGCCTTTCCTCCTTTCAGATGAATAATCACATCCAGATAATCCTCCCTTGACTTCCTTGCAGTGAAAAGGCGGTATATAAATAAAGATTACTTACTTACTTCCTCTTAAGTCACTGTTTGTGCTCATGCTATGGTCTGCTCTCACACAAATACTGCATAATGAGATAAATTACAGCTTATACTGTGGAGAATCCATTATGAAGAGACATGTTTTAGATTAGGCCTGATGTCCTTGAGGTCTAAAAAACATCCTGAGTGGATTGTCGACTTGCCCTGACTTACCTCCAACTTTCTTTTTCTTTTATGTATTGAATGTATTGTATTCTATCTATGTAAATAATAACTTAAGTTATTTAAGGCTATATTCCTAGTCTTTCTGGTTCCCCCTTTCGTGTTTTGCGTGTAGTTATTTTATTATTAGTATATTGAATCTCTTGTTCTTTTTTGCACTTTTGACGACTCACTAAAATCTTGGTATTTCGTCCTGGGCAAAGCAAAAATAATTCAAATAGGCCTTTATTTCTGTCTTTTTAGTTGTGATTAAAGCCGCAAGTTAGGTTTGGGGTGGGAACTGTTAATTTAGTTAACGTTAGTGAACTTAGGGTTTGAGTGAGATAGAGGATGATTGTTTATTGTCATTAATATATATTTTACAACAAAACGTTGCTGGAGCAAAGCAGCAGAAGTTCAAAATTGGTAAAATAGATAAATAATTAAATACCTATGCATTCTCACTGTTATTCTTGCATATTAAATGATTGATAAATATAATATTGCAGTAGGATGAGAGGGTAGGGCGAGGCTGTCTTTCTCCAGGACAAAATACCAAGATTGTAGATAAAATATATTTCCTTGGCTTTTTTTTAATTCAACTTAGTTAAAAGAAAAAGGACTCACTCACAACACAGTTAATTATTAGCGTATGTTTCACACCGAACACGTAAAGAATGTAATGAAACCGAAATAGGATCATAACATGCATTTTTGGATTAGCGTGGGATTACATGCTGGCTGGTTTTGACTCAAACCAGTCTGGGTCAGTTAAAATAGCAGACGGGCTGACGAAACGGCTCCTCTGTCTGGACTTTGTTTTAAAAAAAAGCATAGTACCAGGCCAAACGCAGCCGCGTGGAGATGGTAGCGAAGTCGGAGGTCCATTTGTTTTTGTGCAGAGCTACAGGTGTGAACAAGCTGCTGTGGACGTCAAGCTCACGCACAGGAAATAGTGGCTCTGTAAATAGTTTAGAGACAAACTGGTTTAGCAGCTGTTGGTTTCTCGCTTTTGTGTGCCCAGAGGTTTTTGTACAACATTGAATAATAAATAATGGTCCAATAATAATTGTGGTACTGCAATTATCTTAAAACAGGTTTATTCATATATCATTCCCCAACTGCCCTGGTGGTGATAGCTTTTTAGGATATGATCAGGCACCTATTTCTGATAGATACTTTAATGCTTTTCTTGAAATTGCTCAATTTGGTTTAAAAAATTTACATTCCTCAGTTATGAATGGTTTTTAAGTACTTTATATTCCTCCACCTCTCCACTGATGAGTTCAGTTCAATGACAAATATTTAAATATACAGGCAAAATGACAATATTTAGAATTGGGTTAAATACTAGGGCAACAGTAGCTCAGTTGGTGCTCTGTGTACTGGGTGGCATCTCTGGCCACCCCCCTGACCCAGAAATGGATTAAGGGGAAGAAAATAGATGGATGGGTTCATACTTATATGTATCGCATCCCCTCAACTTTCATTTGTCAACCAATTATTGTCAATTGCTTAACATAGCTTAAACAAAGATAGAATGAAGAGCACATCCCCGCCCCTGGTTTGAGCTACAGCACCGACACCAATCACAAGCCACAACTCAAGAAAAAAAGTGGGCCCATCACCAGGACAGTTGAGAAATCTACTGTACAGGATACATGTATTCATCATGTAATACCCTTTTTTTCCACCAGATGGGTGTTGGATTTATTTAGTTAATTCTAAAAAAAAAACCTTAAGTTTTGCAAACACTGTCATGTTGTTGTAACGAATATAATTTCCATCTGTCCATCTATTTATAAAATTATTTTAAATGTTGTACTTTTGTTTTAAAAGGCAGAACACTGATGACAATGATAACAATTATATAGCAGTTTATACATAGCTTATAAATGGCATTCCATAGCAGGATTGAGACAGGAATATCTCAACAGCTCCTGATATTAGCATGGATGTATCTAAAAACAACTGCAGGTCTGTTGATAAGGGAACAATGTTGTAACATGGTTGAAAGTTCTTGGTACATCTCCTTGAAAATATATTCTGCGGCTTCTCACCAAAGAAAATGTATTGACGTGAGTTTGTATCAATACATTTTCTAGCTGACTCATCTTTGCACCCTTTAGTCTTGTCCCTGATCCTGCAAGGCCTTTAGCCACCACCTGTTGTCTGTTCTCTGACCACAGTCAGGCTGGTGCTGGGTCAGCTTCCATTTATTGCAGAGATCATGAGTTTTCTGACCCCTGACACTGCCTTCACCTCCACCACTGCGGCCCCTAATACTACAGCCAACACTCAGGCCATTGTGCGCTCCTCTAACCCTCTCACCCTTTCAACCCAATCTTTAAGAAAATTAACCTTGACAAATCCTCTGCAAAAGTGTGACAGAACCAAAAAAGGCGGATTCTAAAACGCATAGATTTTCTGTATAGAAATAGTCTAATAGTCTGTATATAATTATGTGAATCTTTACGAGATTGTTGGAACTTTAACATGCACCTACCAGCAGATGTTCGGTCAAGTTTTGGTTGAATGTGTTGCTTTAAAGCTGGGGTACCTATGTTTTATCTCAACAGAAAGATTCTTGTGAAAGTAGAATGGAATCAGATATGTTAAGACTTTTCATATTTGTACAAAAGAGCCCTTTGAGTCACTATTTGACACTTTGGGCTGAGAGACGGTGGCCTTTTTCACTGTCAGAAAAACCTGCACTGAGATTAAAGAAAATGCATGTGATAACTAAAGAGCTAAGAACTACTTACAGGGATTTCATGACATAGTTAGATTCTTTCTGGGTCGAAAGTTAAGTATCCCAGCTTTAACCTACATTTATTTCAAATCAGCCTATAACCTTAAATAGTTACTTTACATAACAGCTTATTACATTTTAAACTGAAAGATTACCGCTTGTTCCGCGTCCGAATGTAGTCCGAGCATAGGTAGTCCGAGGCGGTCCCGCAGGTCTCTCTCATAGACAAGTCTCTCCAGAGGATACGATGTAAGCTAACGCTGGCTATGTTCACCAGGGCTTGATTTTGTCTTTGATAATTTTTTCACTTTAGTTCCCTCTTCTCTTCCTCACTGTTGTGTCGTTTGGACCTTTTTGGTGTGTCTGCAGTTACTAAGAGGAGTTATAGCCAATTCTGCTAACATGCTACTGTGTTTAGCAGCACTTCCCAAAGTCGGTAACACCGGGGCCCCCTTAAAATTCTGACGGGTCTTCGTGGCCCCCCGAAAGAATAACCAAGAAGACAACGTTAAAAATAGACTCTTCTGGTTATTTTATTTGGGGGAAATAGTCCCATAGCCTGGCTCTGCCAGACCCTTGTAGTTCCGCCATGCTCCACCAGAGGCTGAACCACATGGGTCTGGTATCGACGCCATAGCGAACGCCTTCCCCAGATTAGTTTTTAATCGACCAATCAGGATTGCCGGTGTTACAGAGGGGTTTGCACCGCCTTCTCAAGCTTCTCTCATGTAGCGGCAGGGGGAATCCAAGATGGCGGACGTAAAGTCTGCGAATCTTTTTAAACGAGTAAATACGATCGAATTAAGACACGGATGTCACTTTTAATGCAATTTGAGGCAAGATGTTGATGGTTCTATATTGATATATGTGTGTTTTAAGAGTCAAATGTTCCTGTAAAGTTTGGTTGAAGCACTGGTTCAGTGTTCCTGTTTACACACTATGCAGCAGGGTTGCCAGGTTTGGTGGTTCCCGCATATTTTATTCCAAGAGACTTGTAGGTATTAAATTAACAGAAAGACAATAAACAGAATCATGATAGCCCAAGTTGATTATATTACGTTTTTAGCCAAAAAATCATACTGAGTGTTTTTTATTTTGGGTATTCTCGCGGATTTTGGGTTGGAAAATCTTGCTGGGATTTGGCAACCTATGGGAGCCGTGTGCTTCGATGTGAGTGGTTGAAAGCAGACTTCATTCAAGATAACGGACAAGTGATCTATCCAATCACATACAAGGATTTTTTTTTACAAGGCCCTGCCTTCTAAAATCCAACCACTCTGGCTCAGTACCAGACTCATGTGTGAAGTGCAGCGAACTACATGGGTCTGGTGAGAGTCAGGCTAAATAGTCCCTGCTACAAACATGTAAATGACCCATCCCATTTTGTAATACAAAAATGATAACAATTTGATTATTTAAGTCAGAAAATGAACACAAATACAGTGCCTTGCGAAAGTATTCGGCCCCCTTGAACCTCGCCACATTTCAGGCTTCAAACATAAAGATATACAAACATTTTTTTTGTCAAGAATCAACAACAAGTTGGACACAATCGTGAAGTGGAACAAAATTTATTGGATAATTCAAGCTTTTTTAACAAATAAAAACTGAAAAGTGGGGCGTGCACTATTATTCGGCCCCCTTGCGCTAATACTTTGTAGCGCCACCTTTTGCTGCAATTACAGCAGACTGGAATTCTTGCCCATTCTTCCTTGCATAACCGCTCGAGCTCAGTGAGGTTGGATGGAGAGCGTTTGTGAACAGCAGTCTTCAGCTCTTTCCACAGATTCTCGATTGGATTCAGGTCTGGACTTTGACTTGGCCATTCTAACACCTGGATACGTCTATTTGTGAACCATTCCATTGTAGATTTGGCTTTATGTTTTGGATCATTGTCCTGTTGGAAGATAAAGCTCCTTCCCAGTCTCAGGTCTTTTGCAGACTCCAACAGGTTTTCTTCCAGAATGGTCCTGTATTTGGCTCCATCCATCTTCCCATCAATTTTAGCCATCTTCCCTGTCCCTGCTGAAGAAAAGCAGGCCCAAACCATGATGCTGCCACCACCATGTTTGACAGTGGGGATGGTGTGTTCAGGGTGATGAGCTGTGTTGCTTTTATGCCAAACATATCGTTTTGCATTGTGGCCAAAAAGTTTGATTTTGGTTTCATCTGACCAGAGCACCTTCTTCCACATGTTTGGTGTGTCTCCCAGGTGGCTTGTGGCAAACTTTAAACAAGACTTTTTATGGATATCTTTGAGAAATGGCTTTCTTCTTGCCACACTTCCATAAAGACCAGATTTGTGCAGTGCATGACTGATTGTTGTCCTATGGACAGACTCTCCCACCTCAGCTGTAGTTATCTGCAGTTCATCCAGAGTGATCATGGGCCTCTTGGCTGCATCTCTGATCAGTCTTCTCCTTATTTGAGATGAAAGTTTGGAGGGACGGCCGGGTCTTGGTAGATTTGCAGTGGTCTGATACTCCTTCCATTTCAATATAGTTGCTTACACAGTGCTCCTTGAGATGTTTAAAGCTTGGGAAATCTTTTTGTATCCAAATCCGGCTTTAAACTTCTCCACAACAGTATCTTGGACCTGCCTGGTGTGTTCCTTTGTCTTCATGGTTCTCTCTGCGCTTTAAACAGAACCCTGAGACTATCAAAGAGCAGGTGCATTTATACGGAGACTTGATTACACACAGGTTCATTCTATTTATCATCATCAGTCATTTAGGACAACATTGGATCATTCAAAGATCCTCACTGAACTTCTGGAGTGAGTTTGCTGCACTGAAAATAACGGGGCCGAATAATATTGCCCGCCCCACTTTTCAGTTTTTTATTTGTTAAAAAAGTTTAAATTATCCAATAAATTTCGTTCTACTTCACGATTGTGTCCCACCTGTTGTTGATTCATGTCAAAAAATATTTTTTTATCTTTATGTTTGAAGCCTGAAATGCGGCGAAATGTTGAAAGGTTCAAGGGGGCCGAATACTTTCGCAAGGCACTGTATGTTAATAATACAAAAAAATATTATTCATTTGACATACAATAATTATATGAAAATATATATATATTTTTTTACTTCTGGCGGACCCCACTTTGGGAGACACTGCTGTAGAGGATAGAGGACGGAGCCTCGTTCTGTGATTGGAGGAGAGCTGGCGTCACGCTAAGTCTCTACTCTACTTTTCACGGCCTGAATTCATACACAAGCTGAATCTATGAGCTCAAGTTTTCATTTAAATTATGGATTATAATACAACTTGTATATAGTAAAAAGCATTATTATGAACTAATTAAAAAAAAATTGGGTTTATCATCTTTAAGAATTGAACATAACACCTACAGTAATGATTAGATATATACATAAACTGCTTCTACCATTGGTTACATTTCCCCGGTAGGTCTGTAACTAACCATTATTTTGAAATGACTGTACACAACTGCATCGTTTTTGATTGGACTTTACAGTTAGTTGTTTTCGTCCATACAACAACTCAGCCTCGTGACTTGGCCCCACACTGTAAAAAAAGTGCACTGTATTTGTAAATACTTTCACACAATTACTTGTAGGTGTAAATTTGTTGCCCTCCTGAAACCCATAAGTGTTGGCTTTGCATGTAAACCAAACCACATGCTTCTAATGTTAGCTCTCAGCGTATTCTGGCTACGCACTCCTACTTTGTCATCAGTACAGTGTGCGGTGAAACGGACAGGACAAGCTGATGTGTTGTCCAGATGTGCACTTATACAGCCTGTATTTGTGTGTCCAGGTATGTGAGAGGCTCCTGTCTGCAGAAAACGCAACCTGTGCCCAGAAACTCGCCACTATTTTCCGGAAAAACAATTGATTGCATTCATCATTCACTCATTATACTTGTAGATACCGGATGATGCTTCCCCTGAGGTGGCTGACTGAGTGTATTTGTGCAAGGCTATTTTTGGTTAAAAATGGACCAGTGAAAAAATACCTGAACGCTCAATAGATTTCAAATAACATTGCACTTTTTACAATCATCTTCAATGCGATTGCAGTGTTGCTGGCGCCACTATTTGTTCTGAGGCTCATTGATTACACTCTTATAACTTACAAGGTTTCTGCTAATGTTATCCCTGCCATAAAAACCTAATTGTTACATGTGAGCCATTAGCCATCGTGACAATAGAAGGCTGCTTTTCTCCTCCTCTTAACAGTGTACCGCTCTGTCATTTGTAAAGGGCAAGCGGTGAGGTCAGTTATGGCTGCGAGAGTCAGTGAGACAGAGATCTGAGTGTAGTTGTGGACCCATTAGTGGACCCCATCAGAAAAGTTTTGGAATTCCCCTTTAAAACAGCAACCCTAACCCTATCCCTAATCATAACATATTGTGCTAATTGCGTGCCTATTATGAACAATGATCCTATTTTTCCCTCAGTGAAAAGAATTAGCATGCAATAAAATGGATTAAACAGGAAGTTGTAAATGTCTTGTGAATATACTACATTCCCACAGTCGCCAGTATGTTGTGCCATTGTGCCAAGACAAAGCAGAGAGTGACATTTATTGCTCCTTCTTGTCGGAGTCTGCTTGCTCCGTACACTAATTGACATTCCTGCTTGTCACTTTGATGTTGGCTGCTCGTGGGTCTTGTAGATATTTTACAGGCATTCCTTGGTGTGATAGAAGTCGTGTTTGTTTCTGTAGATGTGGATGAATGCGAGGAGATGAATGGAGGATGCCAGCAGACCTGCGTCAACACCCCGGCCTCGTACCACTGTGAGTGCAGCGAGGGCTTCCGCATGCACTCTGATGGACGCACATGTATCGGTGAGTCTTAAAGCTCATGTACCTAACTTTTTTCCTTACACTTGAACAATTGCTTTACCCTTCATGAAGTGTAGTTTAAAGGGACATATTCTTAAAGTACCAATGTAAAAATGGCATGTCAAGTCATCATTAAATGGCCCTACTATGTCAAAAGGCATTATTAAACCATGCTCTTTTCGAATACTTCAGTTCTCGACGTGAGAATTTCAAAATGGGATTGTTTTGGTTTTCTTTTCGATGTTCGCCTTCCACTGTTTTACCAATCAGAAAGTCCGTGATCCAGGTTGCCAGAACTCACTCCGTGGAGCTAATCTCACTGGTAAAATAACATGTCAGGCCACAATACTCAAAAAGGTCTTGTTTTGATTCTCAAATCCTTAATGACAAAACAAGGAATAAAGCAAGGATTCTATTGGGCTCTTTGTGAAAAAGCTGTTGGTTATAGATTTGTTGTTGATAAAACTCTTGTCCATTCAGCTATTATTATGGTCCTAGCTGGATTCCTCTGCATTTCTGGCAACCTCAGTCAGGGAGAGTGGGAGAGGACTACAGAATATTGACCGTGATTGCAGTACCACTTTTGGACAGATTTTTTTTATTTTTACATATTGCTCCTTTAAAGAGCCAAGAACAGCTTAGACTTTACTTTTCACAATTCATTTTAGATTTTGCAAAACATTTGGTGCTATGAGCAATATATGTTTTAGATTATTTTTACCAACATATCGGCCATACACATTTAACTACCAATTAGATTGGTTAGACAAGAAAAGGTAGGTTTATTTGTATAGCACTCAAAGTGCTGAACAAAACAAGTAATGGAAACTAGTCACAATACATAATCACAGTATGCTAGATGGTTGTTTAAAACCAATCCAAAACCAAACCAAATAACTGTGATATTTTAGAGCACTGCCGCGGCACACTAGTGTGTCGTATGATATTGTCTGGTGTGCCGTGAGAAATTTGCCTACTTTGTCTAAAAACAAATGCATCCACCATTGGCGAGTGCTGACTTGTTTTGAACTGTGGAGTAACCACGTAATACTTTTTTCATATCAGTAGGTGGCAGCAGATAGCCAAGTACTTTGAAACGTAAGATTTGGATGCGACCAAAACATTTAACAGGTAGTGGGTGCATTGTAGCGAGTAAGAAGTTAAAGTGATTGAGACGTCTTTGAAAAGGACTTATGCCATTTCTGAACAGAATTCACATCCTCCGCTCTGACCCCGGGGCAGCTGTGGCCGTGTTGTCCTGACAGCCGCTTTGACAACAGCTCAGCGACAGCAGCTCATCCCTAACCTGGTACCGAGCGCGTACCATAGACGCGTGGACAGACGCGTGGACAGAACCATAGACTTGTGGACAGAACCATGGTTTCCTGAGTCATTATTTGACTTTTTGGGCTGAGAGTGGATTTTTGTAAAGTTTTTTTCCACACAGTTAGTGCCACTTTATTCCCAAACTCTTGTTAACTCATCATATTGAGAAATATTAAACAAAGCTTTATGTCAAGGCCTGGATAGAGCGGGAGAGAGCGGGGCGTGAAAAGATCACGCCCCGCTGAGAACCTACCCCTAACAATTTACAGGCAACACATTGAGCAAGTGAGAGAATTCAAGTATTTAGGCCTAATTATGGACTCTCACTTGCAATTTGACACATTAACAAGATTGTAAAAAGGACTAAATCTAGTTTGTATAGTTTCAGATTAATCAGAGATTGTTTACCTTTCAACGCAGCCAATATCTTTCTACATGCTATGATTTTTTCTCAGATAAGTTACTGTATCACCTGCTGGTCCCAGGCCACAGCATCTACCATCAAACCAGTAAGAATGCTCTACAGCAGAGCCATAAAAGTACTGGACAAAACGCCAATAAGAACACACCATTGCCAGGTTTTTCTGAGATTACATTTTATTAGTTTTGATAATTTTACAAAATTCTGTAATTGTAAATTATTGTACAAATGTTTGCACAGTCAAGCCCCTGCTTTCCTGAGTGCTCTCATAGTTCCTCTGAGATCCATCACACGGGGCTCCTCTAACGGGAATGTAAAAGTGCCCCTCAGGAGAACCACAGTCGGGCAGTCGGTCTTCTCGGTCCAGGGGGCAAAGCTCTGGAACTCTTTAAGCCCTCAGCTAAAACTGAACTCTGACTGGGCTGGTTTTAAACACGAACTCAAGCGATTTTTTAAAAAACAAACCAGTTGTGTGAGCATCAGTGAGTTGGAGAACATCTATCTGCTTTTGTATAATGTGAATTTTATAATGTATAATGTGTTTTAATTGTGTTAAAAGCCCTCCTAGCTACGGACATTGCAAACTAGCCTTGGCTATAAATGTTGTAGTGTTTCACATGTTGATTGTGCACACTTGTCCCTATCAAGGCAAGGCAAGGGAAGTTTATTTGTATAGCACAATTCATACACAAGGCATCTCAAAGTGCTGAACAAGATAAGAAAGCATTAAAATCATAAATAATCAAAGTACATTAAAAAGAAAGATACAAATTTAAAATCTCTCAGTTGTATGCACAGCTAAACAGAACTGTTTTTAACCTGGTTTTAAACATTGTCATTGAGGAGGCCTGTCTCACATTTTCAGGAAGATTGTTCCAGATTTTAGCAGCATGAATCTGAAAAGCAGCCTCCCCATGTTTAGTTCTGACTCTGGGCACTAACAGGAGTCCAGTCCCTGTGCTCCTCAGAGTCCGGGCTGGTTCATATGGTACTAACATGTCACTAATATATTTTGGTGCGAGGCCATGGAGAGACTTGTACACAAGCAGAGCTGTTTTAAAGTCTATTCTCTGAGCCACAGGAAGCCAGTGCAGAGACCTGAGAACTGGACTAATGTGGTCGTACTTCTGACTGGTTCTAGTCAGGACTCGAGCTGCTGCATTTTGAATGTACTGCAGCTGTTTTACAGCCTGTTTGGACAGACCTGTGAGCAGCCATTGCAGTAGTCTAACCTACTGGAGACAAATGCATGGATAAGAATCTCCAAGTCTGCTTTAGACACTATGTTTTTGATCCTGGCAATGTTTTTTAGATGGTAAAAAGCTGCTGATGTTGCTGATTTGATGTGGCTATTAAAATTAAAGTATGAGTCCAGTATTACCCCTAGATTTCTGACCTGGTTTGAAGGTTTTAGGGAGAGAGACTGGAGGTGACAGATGACGCTCTCTCTTTGTTTCTGGGGACCAAAGACAATCATTTCAGTTTTGTCTGCGTTTAGCTGAAGGAAGTTGTTTTGCATCCACTCACTGATCTGTTGGATACCGTGATTGCTTGAATATATTGATTCTCGAGTGTTCACATATTATTTTAAACACTAGTCGTGTTCATAATATTTACTGCTATTTTCTTTTCCAACAAGCAGTGTCACCCCTGTGGTTTTACAAGCCAACCCCCGGCACTTGACAATTTATAAAAAGTGGAACAACAGTGCTGCGTATGAATAAGTGCAATAACACATTCAGCTTTGCACCAGGGAACTTTCAAAACTCAAAACAATGCAAGAATGTAATGACATCAATTCAACTAGTTCCTGTCTCTAAAGCAGTTCAGCTCACTAGTTTTCCCATCTATCAGCTTTTCAGACAGAAAACTGAAAAACAGAAGACCATCCTCACTCAACTAATCAGCTCTCAGCCCAAAGCATCAAATTTGGACATTCTTAATTTCAGTCATATAACATATAACATTAATTTAATTTCAAACTCTTTTTTTATACCATGTCTTATTTATCCCCCTTCTCCCCCATAGGACCAGGTATTGCTGGTATAGCTAATTGTTTTCTGGTTTAGTCGTTAGCGTTGCGGCTGCTGGTCTTTCACTTTTACAGCCTGTCTGTGTCCTCATGTCTGCTTTAGAGCACCCACAAGGCACACCACTGATCTCCATATTTTGCACGCCATTAAATCACCAGAGAAAAGGAATGGAAAGCTCATTACTAACTACCAGGCTAATACCACTGTAGGGCCCGGCTGGTAATATCAATGTCCATTTTCCAGCCTTCCATAACGCCAAAGCTGCCATCGAATTTAAGGTGTGAAAACCATAATTCACTGGAAGAATATCAAGTTCTATATTAGTTAGGAATCCTGGATTTTAAAAGCAATTTGTAGTTATATGTTTTGTTGAGTTAGAGCTGCACTCAAAAATGAACGCGAAACAGAAAAGGCTATATTTATCCTCTTGAAAATAGTTTACCAATCACTCACACGTCATTTGGCACATTCATATTATTCACTGGTTCAGATTGAGAAAAAAAATGGAAGGGGTAACATCTGAAAGACTGCTATTATCGACTCATTAATGTATCACTTATTTGTAATATGACTCTATAAGTGCAAAATCTCTTTGCCATAACAAGGCCTGTTGCAATAACACATTTTGACAGAAGATACATTTCTTCTGTAAATGATTCCAATAAATAATAATATTGGCACTACTTGAGTACCAAACCTTTAAACTATAATTAATCCATCTAGTTTGCTCCTGGCTCTATAACAGTTTGCTTCAATAACTAGTCAAGGTTTATGAACCTCTGTCACATCTGTAGATCAGGTCTTCAGAGAGACTAGTGAAGAAGAGAGGACCACCCTCAATCAGCTCACAGACCTTATCTTTTCTAATAAGATAAGATTATAAATAAAGATAAAAAAGCAACGTTTTATGGTTACATGTAGCCATCCATCTTTCTGTTTGTGAAAAAGCACCAGTGGCACTGACAAAGTAGCATTCTGGGTTATAATCCCAGTAGAAATAAATCGATTTCAGTAAAAAAAAAAAAAAAAAAAAAACTAAATAAATAGATTTTATTTAGACGTAGTGAACACCATCCTTCCATCCATCCATTTTCTTCCCCTTAATCCATTTCTGGGTCGGGGGTGGCAGTCAGAGCTGCACCCAGTACACATAGCGCCAGTCCCTCACTGATCCTCCTGCAGGTGGTGAGTCCACGGGAAGATGGCTTCTCCGTCACTAAAAGTTTTCAAACAAAATACTAAAATTGTTTTCAATCGTTTTTAGAGTTATTGGAAATATTGTTTTATTCCTCAGTTACGGAACAATAAGTCTTTTTAGTAATTATCGTGACAGGTCTCACCATCAACGTCTCCGAGTAACAAGATTCACCAGGTCTTATGTTGCTTTCTCCCTCTGTTATTTAACTGTTATTTATTTTTAATTTTTCAGCTCTTAATTCCTGCTCGGTTCTGAACGGCGGCTGTGAGCACAAGTGCACAAACCTGGGGAATAATCAGTACAAATGCGAGTGCCGAAAAAACTACCAGCTGAAGCGAGACGGACGCCACTGTGAACGTGAGTGAGCAGATGTTTCCAGAATGTTAGACGCAGCCTGTCATTTGTAAAGCAGAGAACGCAGATATGAGAATGTACCTGTCTCACCGCTGACAGAGGCTTTTTCAAGAGCAGGAGGTGGTTGTATTTGAGAGTCCGCTTATATACATGATCATGTTTTATGATATGGCATCTATCAATATTCTGATATAGTATTTAAAAAAAAAAAAAATTATACAGGACTTATTTGAGCTGGCCGGGAGGCGTTATAAGATCCATTCGGGCTAATACCAGGGACTAACATATAACTCCAATCCTTCTTAAAGCTCCTGTCTCAGTCCTGTAACAGTATGATGTCATTGTGCCACTATGACGTCACACTCAGAGTTGCTCCAGTGTTGCAATCACACAGTATTGTTTGCAACCAGCAATTTTCACATACTAAAACACGATGCGTCAAAGTAAATAGTCTTATTAAAATTAAAAACAAAATTTCTAGCATTTTTTCTTTCGCCAATATGGTCAAAACCAAATTCACTAAATCTATTCACGGTAGCATTTATAAGGAAATGCTTTGAATTAATCAAAAATTAATAATGATTTGTTGTTGAATAATGTATTTATTTGGGATAAGATCTGAGATTTGAGACCTGTGGAACTTTCAAACCACAACAATAGAACTGTGTGATGACATCCATCAGATCAGTTCCTCACTCTCAAAACAGTTTGGTTCGCATGTATGTGGTTTTGGCCTCTCTCATCTTTAGATCAGAAAAGTGAAAAAGAGAGGACCACCCTCACTCTCAGCTCAAAGTGAAATAAACAAATAGAAGCTCAAAGGCTCTAATACGGACTGAGCATTACACTTTTCTGTCTAAACATTAGTGTATTGTTAAGTCTTTGCCACATTTGTTTCAAACTAGTGATAGATCCAAACTGTTTTGAGGGCTGGTTAGTTGTTTTCTTATGCAGTAGGGATGGGGCCAAAGTATGTAAGTGTAAGTGTATCTTGTTAGAGCGTCCCTTCAGGAGCAAGGAAGGATTTGGACAGCAGAGAGACGACAAAAGTGTTGTTGACTATGTGATTATGGCTGAGTTATGGAACTTCATATTTTGATTTAGTAGCTATAGGACACATGTTTATTGTCAAATAGAGTGGATTTACCAGAGTTCTTTGATCATCGCAAGTCAACATGGCTTTAAAACACCTCGGCATTAAATCATCAGTCTATTGTCTGTTATGCTCCATCAGCTGTTGGTTAAGTGTTACATTACAACATGACACATGAACTCCTGCGGCTTATATTTGCGTATATGTGGACTAAATGATCTTTCTTTTCAAGTTTCAGTGTTATTTGTATACATGTGTGGTTAATAGTCCAGCAAGCACTGTATTTGTCACCAACAGTTTATTCAATTCAATTCAATTTATTCTTGTACTGCCCTAAATCACAACAGTCGTTATCTTGGAGGACTTTACACAACCGTTGAATTCGCCAACACAGATCATAGAATCATGACTGAAAAAAAAAAAAAAAAAAAAAAAAAAGATCATAGAATCAAACAGTTCAAACACAAGAAATGCAATGATAGAAAACACATATTGGTCCATAACGGGTAGATATGACCAATGTTCATAAATGTTGATAATGTCCATAAATGTTGTTGAATGTTGTCCTTATGTTAGACCCTCCTGCATCGGCCAGGAACAACTCTAAAACCCAGTGGGAAAAGGTGAGAAACCTCGGGGAGGCCCTCATTGACACAGAGATCCGCTCCCACGGACAGGCTATAGATCCAGGACTCAGTCTTAGACAACAATTACATATATATAATTATGTTTACTAGGGGTGGGAACCTCAGGGTACCTCGCAATACGATACGATACGTGATGCAAAGCTCACGATAACGATTATATCACGATATGACGATTATCGATATATTGGTCAGAAATATGCCATATGCCAATATATGGCGTACATAAAATGTATTTATTTCATCATTAATGGAATGGAGATGTGTAATGTAGCCATATATCAAGTATTGATGCTGATTAAAAAAACTAAAAAAATTGAATGTTTTTTTTGTTTATTTATTTTTTTCAAAATCGATACTTGGCAATTGCATATCGATAATCGATCACGGGAGAAAGTATCGCGATATATCGATATTTTGATATATCGTCACACTCCTAATGTTTACCGTGCTTTACTATAGTGAGTTGTCCTAGTTGTACAATGCTCTGTAATCACATAATTTTGTGAATTATTTGTCATGAGCTTTTACAAATCCATATTTAAATAATATCTTAATTTATGCAGAAAGTGTAGAAGCGGAAACTTGCATGGTAAGTAAACACCAGCTCTCAAGCACCTGCCAAAACTGAATTTCACAAACAGGGACTCGCTGGCCAACATGTTTAAGCTGGTTCCTATTTGCACCAAGTGTGAGTTTGTTTGCTTTATAGTGAGAAACCCGTGTGCGGAGAGGAACGGAGGCTGTGCCCAGACGTGCCACTCCCATGAAGGGCAGGTGGAGTGTGGCTGCAGACCGGGCTTCTCTCTGGCTGCGGATGGAAAGAACTGTGATGGTGAGAAGACCGTGTGACCATAATATTGTTTATTGGGTTAAAAGGTTTATTGGGTGACAGTAGCTCAGTTGGTAGAGCATTGGCCTTAAGCCCAGAAGGTCGTGGGTTCAATTCCCACCTCTGCACCTTCTCCACCGACTCCCACTGATGACTGCTGTCGTTGTGTCCTTGGGCAAGACACTTAACCCCACTTTGCCCAAAAAGCTCCCACTGAAAGATCAAGGCTATGCTCACACTCAGAGAGCAGCCATCCTCCTGTGGACTCACCACCTGCAGAGGATCAGTGAGGGGCTGGTGCTATGAGACTTGGGTGGCATCTCTGACTGCCACCCCCCTGACCCAGAAATGGATTAAAGGGTAGAAAATGGATGGATGGATGGGTTAAAAAGGGTTTGTTGGTGACACGTTATCGTGATCATAGATACAAATAACACAGCCATGTTTCACCAGATTTGTCAAAAAACGTTAGTGTTGACATTTCAGCTTTTATTAATGAACTCATAATTTCACTTATGAGAAGACATTGCACTTGTTTTTGTTCCATGTGATAGACAGCACTTCTGTATTTTGACAGAAGTGCAGAAATCACAACTTATCTCCAGCTCAAGTTTAGAGTTATATTCTAGAACAAAACCTTCACACTACTTTGGCATTGTTTTCAAACTTGTGCCAAGCCAGTAATGTGTCCGCTCCAGACAGAGCTTTAGCAGTGAATTAAAATGTTTCCTTGCTACCTTCTTTCCTTACATCCCTTACATTCTGAGCCAAACATGAATGACTTTATTAATTCTAAAGATTTATTTTGGAGAGACTTCATCCTGCTAGATTTTCAAGCATCACCACTGAGAAATCTGAGAGCTGGCAAAGCTTTCCTGTGTGGGAGTTTTAAGAACACTTTTTTGTCCCATGTAAAAATGTCTAAGGTTCATAAATTGCAAGACTACTCAATATCTGTATCAAAACAGTACCAATGTATTGTGTGACTGGTTAAGAATGTATTTGGCAAGTTTAAAATGGTCACAATTAACAATTTTATGTTTCTATGCATTGTCTGATATGGATCTATGGAGACAGACGGATTTAATAAATACCCGCATCTGTGTTTATCTATTTGCTGTCTTCCAGAAGTTACAGTATATCCCTATGTTGTTTTTTTTCTTAGATCAATATAATTTAAGCTGGGTTACTTTAAATTTGAACCACAATAAATTGAAATATCTAATACAATCTATCTTTTTCTTTGCTTCTTTCAGTAGTTTTCACATGCAAGAATTTTTTGGCCGCTGTCACATCCTGAGATCAGCTTTTTAGAGGACCACCCTCACTTAGCCGATCAACTCCCAGCCCTGATCTGTGAGGGACGAGTGTACTTATAACATTTGAAACTAGGGGTGGGAACCTAAGGGTACCTCACGATACGATACGATACACGATACAGTTCACGATAACGATTTTATCACGATATGACGATTATCGATATATTGGTCAGAAATATACAATATGCCAATTTATGGTATAAATAAAAGAAAAAATACACTTTATTTCATGATAAATGGAATGGAGATGCGTAATGTAGCCATATATTAAGTATTGATACCAATTTTTTTTTTAAATGCTTAAGAAATATATATATAAAAAAAAGATTTCTTTCATTTTTTTTTTTTTTTTCAAAATTGATATTGATACTTGGAAAATGCATATCAATAATCGAATTGCGGGAGAACGTATTGTCACATCCCTGTTTGAAAAACTACAGCATTTATAGCCATGGCTATTTTGCATTGTCCTTTCCCAGAAGAGCGTTTAGCACAATTAAAGACACATTTAATATTGTTACAATCTGTTGAAAGTTTGTGTTAAAAACAAGCCCAGTCCTAGTTCAGGGAAATGTGAGGACTTAAAGTTCCAGAGCTTTGCCGGTCTGTCCGAGTGTGGTTCTCCTGCAGGGCACTTTCACATTTCCATTGGAGGAGATTTGTGCGATGGAGCCCACAGTTCACAATGGTTCTGTGAAGTCAAAGTGCCTATTTATAGTTACACAACTTCAAGGAGTCTCTTAAAGCTGAAACCTTCTTCAAAAATGCATTAAACACAGACTTTGAATGACTACATTTGCATTTGTGTATTAAAAAAAAACATGACTGCATAATGTGTTGTCACTAAAAGATGCTTCCCTTGACTGATTGGCATCTCTTATTTTTACATGTGTCTTGTATTGTCTTCATATTACTTTATAATCTCATTTTCTTTAAACACGGTTATGGGAATTTGCTAGTCTATTGACCTGACATGTGTGCTTTCTGCTTGCCTGTCCTCCAGATGTGGACGAGTGCTCCTCAGGCCAGCAGAAGTGCTCTCATGGCTGTGTGAACACCGTGGGCTCCTTCAGCTGCATGTGTAACCCCGGCTTTGAGCTCGGAGCAGACGGGAAACAGTGTTACCGTGAGTAAAGGCGCAAAAGTCAAGCTGGATGCAAGAAACAGATCTGAATCCCGAGGAATAATAGGTCACGACTGGACATGCATCAGTCGTGGAAAGTATCACACTGTGAAAGTAAAATAAGGTCCTTTAAAACTTGGTCTTGATATGATATAAGTACATTTTACAGTACATCATGTTTGACTTTTACTTTGTGACATTTGAGAGGAGGTATCTGTATTTTCACTTTGCATTTGTGAACTGTAGTGGTGTACCAGGGACCTGTTGAAACGGCGTTATGCTAATATTTTGTTTCTGGATTTAAGTCCTGGCTTAAATCTATACATGATACCGGTACTTCACGTCAGCCCCGTAAGCCAATAACTACGTAGTTACTAGTAAGCCTTGTTGAGAAAAGTGCAAAAAACTGTTTTCACAACAACAATCTGTACGTTTAGAAATATTTTTGTTTTCAAATAATAGCATATCAAATTATCACAAGTAGATTACCACTTTGAGTAACTGACATAGTGATTACAAAACCAATTTCAATGACTTGGAAATATTGCAAAAATACCTGTGAGTTATACTTTAACATGTGACTTAGCCAAAATATGTAATTGAGTTGAAACTGTTATCATATCTAACTTATTATGCAAATACTTTACACAACTTTGCATTGTGGATATTGTCACACAAAGACAATTGTCGTTTTCACTTTCGAACGAGGCTTGTGGTCGGTGATTGACATAGACATAAATTCAGGATATGCAAATGCTGATTAGGGACAGACTTAAATGACTTTGGCCATTATACTAGGCTGAAAATATTACACCTTTTATCCCAGCAATGATTGGCTTCCTCTGTACATTTACAGTAACAGTACTCTAAACTTCTTCCACTATTTATAAGCAGATATTTTAAAGTCAGCACTGCCAGCTTTGTATATTAAAAGTCCAAGTTATAAAAACTGAAAGCCTAGTGGCCTAATAGCAGTAGTGCAGGTGTATTGAACTTGCAGCCCAGCGACCAAATCAGGCGCTCAAAAGAATTCAGTATTTTTGAAAATACTGCTTAAAAAATGATTGCTGAAACATGTCAAATGTCAATATTGATAATAAGTAGTCTGGCCAACAATCATGAAGATCCTCCTCCAGCCCTCGGGGAAATTAAGTTGAATAATATATAGTATCTCTGATGTAGCAGTAACTTGGCCCCATCAATATGCTTATATTTGAAATTGTGTGACAAAGAAGAGCAGGATTTCAATAAAGAGTAACGTTTTGGCCAGCGTGTGATCCTGAACAGATAAATCTACCTCCCTCAGGCATTGAGATGGAGATTATAAACAGCTGTGAGGAGAACAATGGCGGCTGTTCTCATCATTGTGAACACACCACCAACGGGCCCCACTGCTCCTGCAACCAAGGCTTCCAGCTCGCAGAGGACCTCAAGACTTGCATCGGTAAACACTGCTTCCAAAAACACAAGGCACAACAGCAATTACTATTTGGCTTCTGTTAAAGCTGGGGAGCCTAGTTCATGTGCATGTGAAATCTAGTTCCTTGTTTTCACATGCAAATATTTCTCTGTATTTCTCATTTATTGTTAACATATTTTCATACAAGATTAAGAGAGCAGACATTTTGTGGTCTGATTTGTTCCTTACATTTTACATAAACAATATTTAGCATTTCTGTAACAAATAAAGTTAGGTAACCCAGCTTTAGTAGGTGAAATGTTAGTATGTTTATGAATGCCTGGCTATAGCTGCGCCAATCTTTTCTGATGCATGTGGTATTATAGTAAATGTCCATAAATTGCACTATACTATTTTTGTAAAGAATATGTTTTTATCCACCCTGAGCTAGAAAGAAATACCAAAATCAAAAGCTCAACATTGTTCCCACTGCAAACTCCCACTGTGCAAAAACACAAGAATTTCAGCCCAAACTCTTCCTCTATGAAGTTGTCCTTGTAAAAAATATGTTTGAAAATGTTTATATTGCTCCGTGTGGATGATTCACCCAGGTCCCTTTAGATAACTGATTTTGAAAGCCATAAGTTAGACCTTGATAAATTGACACATTCCTGTGGTGAAAAGCGGACATGGGTTCAAACAACACGCCAACCTTCTATTGTCCCAAGTCGACACACATCAAAAACACAGAGAAGCTGTGGGAAAAAGCCATTTATTCCCCAATTTCCCAAACACTTTCATCAATAAAAATCTCTTGCAACGGCTTTATACTGCAGTAAAAAATGTAAAGTATATGAATGATTAATTAATAACATGTCTTTGTCTTTTTTGCACATAAACAATAGTTGCATGCACTTATTGTTGCAAGCAATCGTTTTTCTCACACTCACGACTTCAAGCCAACACTTCACCCAAAGCAGCTTTAGTAGTAATAACTAATTTGGGTTCTCAGTGTGTATAGTGTCTATCCTTGGCCTTGTTGGTTGCGTGTTGAAGCCTGCTCTCTCCTGTGCTCCTCAGACAGTGATGAGTGCTCCAGCGGCCAGGCCTGTTGCAGCCACTTCTGCAGGAACTACCCCGGCGGTTATGAATGCAGCTGCAGAGCGGGACACACTCTCAACCCAGATGGCTGCGGCTGCGATGGTAGGCCCGCAGGATTACGTTGTGGTTGTGGTGGAGTTACTGGTGAAACAAATTCCCTGATTGCTATCAAATTAGGCTTCCCGACAGCTTTTAAGCTCAACAAGAAAACAGGAATACACATGGGAACCACTAGTATATTTGGAAAGAACTACGGCGGTTAGGTCCATTAAATGAAAGGAATTAATTTGCATTAGAATGTATATACGCCATTGTCCATGTTCCATTTTCAAGGCTAGAGACAGTATATGGAAGTAATTGCGCAAGGGAAATTATTTGATTTAATTCCAGCTGTGACCAGTTATTCTGTCATTGTTCCTGACTTCATAGGTCAAAAGTAAAAAATAATTTTCTTGCCTTTTACTGTGTGCTTCTCATGCGCTGTGTACACATAGAAGCGCTAGTATAATGTTGGTGGTTACCTTTATTTAAAGCTAAAATAACACATAGCTGTACAGTACATATCGCTGCTACTTGTCAGGTTTTGCTTACGGCAAAAACTTTTTTGAAACATAACCCCTGCGATAAAAGAGGATCTACTGTAGATTGAGAAACATTAGGAAAGAGCTCATGGATAAAGGTTTGCTCCTACTGCCCCTTGCTTCCAATACACTTCACTGAATAGTAAAATCCTCTTTCTCTTGTTGTCTACATGATCTGTTGATGCTGATCTTTGTAAATCCAGATCTGACACCTAATTAATGACCAATCAGTTTCCTTCTGTCCTCAAATTCAGCTCGGAAAAAGGATAAGCACGAACTGACCAGCTTCGCTCCTGATTGGATCTTTGGTTGCTAGGTGGTTGCTACCCACACATTTTCTTCAGATTCCCTCCCATAGAGCCTGTTGGAGAGAGCACTAATCGGCTTCTTCTGTGACAAGGCAAACAATGGGTGACGTCAACACTCTTTTAGACCACCCCTTGTATAGTTTATGGTGAAAACCTTTCTTGTCTCCAGACATGCAGGTGGTGTCAGTCCGACGGGAATAGTCCAAGATGTGTGTCATGAAATATCTGCTTTTGTGTTGTGCAGATGTTGACGAGTGCCTGGCGGAAACCTCTGGATGTGAGCATTACTGTGTCAACACTCTGGGCACGTACGAGTGCTTCTGTCGACAAGGCTTCCGCTTGGACCAGGACCAGCACTCCTGCATCTGTGGGTCTCCTGTAGGAAATATTTGGGATGATTGTTTTTTTTCAACAACTGCACGCTACATAATTGTGTTTCATCACATTACATAAGCCGTAGTTTAATGAAATCCACCTTAGTTCCTCGCTCTCCAAACAGTTCGGTTCAATCACAGGTTTCCACGTGCATGTATGTTTGGCCTCTGTCACATCTTTACATCAGCTTTATTAGACAGAAAAGTGAAAAAGAGAGGATCACCCTCATTCAGCGAATCAGACCAAAGTGGTCCACAGTGACTAGGGCTCTCGGGCTTTACACATGCAATATATACCGTTTCTACTAAGATGACGGCAACATGTTGTGGTCTGATTTATTCACATAATTAATTGTATTTTCTGTTGGGACAAACACAATGTGATCTTTGTGGGGGAAGAAAAGTTGGGTGCACCTCCTTTAAAGTATCAATATGTACAGTTTTCATGTCAAATCATCATTAAATGGCACTAATCTGTCAAAAGGCATGAATAAATCATGGTCTTTTCAAATAGGTCTTTAACTGATAACTGTAGTTCAATTAGAGATATGCAAATTTCAAAATTAGTTAGTGTTATTATTTTCATTTTGATTTCCCGCGCTCCACCGTTTAACCAATCAGAAAGTCTGTTATCCGGGTTGCCAGAACCCTCTGCGTCGAGCTAATCTCACTGGTAAAGTACCATGTGGCCGCAGAACAAAAAAAGGTCTTGTTATGATTCTCAAATCATTAATGACAAAACAAGGAAAAAAAACAGGATTTCTATCTTTGTGAAAAAGGTGTTGGTTATAGATTTGTTGTTGACAAATCTCTTCTATTCAGCTATTGTGGTCCCTGCTGGATTTGTTTGCATATCTGGCAACCTGAGCCAGAGAGAGTGCAGTACCACTTTTGGCCATATTTTTACATACTGCTCCTTTAAGCTATTAAAATATGCAGAGGCAGCGCCACAATTTTAAAAGAGGTTGGGCGGCAGCTTAGGGCCCCCTCCCTTTAATCACCTGAGCACTAAACCGGAAATTGGTAGATTGTCTAAAAAATGTATCTTCTCCCGATGACACATATCCCCATGACACATGACAGAAGTTCCAGAAATTACATGTATTTAATTATTCAATTGTATTCAAGTTGACAATAAGTTATTCATTCACTGACATGTTGTGTTTCCAGCTCTTTATGCTGAACTGGATGAAGAAGAGGAGGATGAAGAGGAGGATGAAGGACAGGTGCCAGTCCTACCAGAACTCCTGTTTAGAAATGCTCCTCAGCTCCTGCACTACACTTCTGCCCTCCACACTGGATACAGCAACGACCAGAGCGACTACAGCGATGAAGACGAGGAGAGGGAAGGTCAGCGAGAGCGCCGCGGGGAGCTGCGACTCAACAGTCAAATAGGTACATCACATTTCGCTGTCTGAGTCTGAGTCTGAGGCACTCTGTTGAAGTGAAAAAATATAAAAGTCTGATGCCCTGACAAAGACCGCTTCTGGTCGAAACGTGTATTTAGCGTTAGCCTGCATATGCTAATATGTAGGCTAAAAGTTACTCACTCTTTTTTCGCAATATCGAGTTTGTGCGAGTCAGCCCTTTGTAATACTCGCTTTCTTCCATTGCGCTATGTTGTGAACAGGTGATGAGCAAGGCTTTCCCAGATAAACACCCCCTACAGGCCACCCGAATGAAGCGCAGCAATTTCTTGTTATTTTTTTTCAAAAATGCCCAAAATCAAGACTCTTTTGAGAAATATTTCTTAGTATCCATCCATCCATCCATTTTCTACCCTTTAATCCATTTCTGGGTCAGGGGGGTGGCAATCAGAGATGCCACCCAAGTCTCATAGCACCAGCCCCTCACTGACCCTCTGCAGGTGGTGAGTCCACAGGAGGACGGCTGCTCTCTGAGTGTGAGCATAGCCTTGATCTTTCAGTGGGGGCTTTTTTAGAATTTTTCATATTTCTTAGTACTCCCTTAGAATTGAGTGTCCCCCTCCCGATTAAGACTGTTACAATGGGTTTTCAATGGGAGCAAAACTGAGTTGTCCCATCTCATTCGCCCCCCTACAGGCCAGGTTAATGAAACCCAAGAAAATGCATGAAATCTCCCTTTGCTCTTAAATGCCCTTACATCCCATACATTTATTGCTACTGGGAATTATATTCTGTGTTTATATTGATGCACTGTATGTGAAAATGTGATACAGGTACAACATAAAGTAGATAATTATTGTACTTTACTAAACTTGTCATGCATAGTAGGTCTTTATATAGGGGTTTTAGTGCTTAAATTACTGCTCAGCTTTGTGTCTAAGCTTTACTTTGGAACATCCATCCATCCATCCATTTTCTACCCTTTAATCCATTTCTGGGTCAGGGGGGTGGCAATCAGAGATGCCACCCAAGTCTCATAGCACCAGCCCCTCACTGACCCTCTGCAGGTGGTGAGTCCACAGGAGGACGGCTGCTCTCTGAGTGTGAGCATAGCCTTGATCTTTCAGCTGGGGCTTTGGGCAAAGTGGGGTTAAGTGTCTTGCCCAAGGACACAACGACAGCAGACATCAGTGGGAGTCAGTGGAGAAGGTGTCGAGGTGGGAATTGAACCCACGACCTTCAGGCCTGAAGGCCAATGCTCTACCAACTGAGCTACTGTCGCCCCTGTACTTTTTTATAAAAATAAATTTTTTTATACTCATGAAGATTGCCTACATAGTTTCATATCATGTGTTTTTTACCCCCTGGCTCCTTGTCACATTATTTGCACTAAAAAAGTACATTATTGTCTGTAAGTTCACGTATATGTATTTGTCAGTGTGTCTCGAGGGCTCGTTTGGAGACGACTGCAGTCTGAGCTGTGAGGTCTGTCTGAACGGAGAGTGCAGTGATAACAAAGATCGGTGTGAGTGCTCTCCAGGATGGACCGGGACCATCTGTAATCAAAGTAAGTGAGTAGGAACTGAAAATACTAGGTTTTATACTGCATATATATATACCATGTGCTTTTGAAATGTTATACTATCTAAAAGGGACAAATAGTAGCAACATTTTTCCATCTCACCCAGACTCACTTCACAGAGCACTCTACACTTATGGTATACTGCCACCTCTAGCGTAAAACAATAATTACTGTATAATGTACATGGAAAGCACTTATAGCCACTGGCTTTGCTCTAAATATAATTGACAATGGATTTTTAATTGAGAGGGGTTTGTAAGTACATTAGAGTGCTTCATCAAACCACTTTTCAAAACATTTACAGGTACTTACATTTGTGTCTGTTACATATACTGAGAAATATAAATACATGTGAATCAACATTTTTGATTTGATCTTTAGGGCTGTATCAAGCAAATCAAATATTGGTCCATCGGCAAATGGTTCTAAACGTGATTACATAGCGCTACTGCAGGGCCTTTATCCCCACCGCTGTCAGACTGTACAATAAGTCACTTGCATTAGGACTGAAAAACCTGCACTACTATTGACACTGTTTATTTATTGCCACTTTGGATTGCCACTTTTTAATGTATATAATATATCCTGCATTTAACATGTTTGCACATTTCTTTTTCTTTTGCACAGTTTTGAGTGATTCTATCCATGCCAGATGTGACGGGCGGCACGGTGGCTGAGTGGATAGCACTCTCGCCTCTCAGCAAGAAGGTCCTGGGTTCGAATCCCGGTCGGACCAGGGCCTTTCTGAGTGGAGTTTGCATGTTCTCCCCGTGTCTGCGTAGGTTTCCTCCGGGTACTCCGGTTTCCCCTACCGCTAAAAATATGTAAAATAGTTCTGGCATGTGCCTCCTGTACTGGCGACCCCGCTCCCATCTCTGTGTGGAGTGAGAGACAAGTGCCCAAAAAAAATAAAAAAATAACATTTGTAAACCGCTTTGAGACTCAGCTCTGCAGTGAAAAGGCGGTATATTAGTAATTACTTACTTACTACTTACTTACATGTACATTTCTCCTGTGTGAGATCAATAAAGTCGATCTTATCTTATCTTATACTTAACCCAAACTCTACTCAAACAACTGAGTTAATGAAAAAGACAATTATTTAGGAACATTCAAATACTTATAATATTTAGCAAGTAAAAAAACAAAATGGAATAAGGAAGAGGAGTGTGGCAAGTATGAGTAGTCACATTGAAATACTTACAATTGAAGTAAAATGAATGACTAAACAATGAGATTAACTGCACTTACTTGCATGTCCAAACCAGTGGGGGCGGGTCCCAGCTCAAAAGTGGCCAAAATGACGTGCGCTGACATGCTTGCAATACCACCCCGGGCCGATGGGGGTGGACCCAGAAGAAGAATTAGCCAGTGCTAACATATAGCATTGGCAGACCTCTCAAAAACGTCTTTACAGGATGGACCAAAAGTTGGCTCTTGGCCCAAAGCTCCGTTCCACATGTGTGTCAATGCTGAGGGGGGTGGATTTTTTTGGTCCATTCTAGTTTACTTGCTGTGAATTTTTTAAGTCTCTCGTTCAAATGAATGGAGTTGCGCCGGCTGACGCATGCGCAGATGCGTTTTTTCACAATTTTCTTGTGGGCGGGACCACTCGCGGCCATTTTGGATTGCTCCAGTAGAGCACATTTTTTGGCCCATTAGTTAGAACGGCGGAGATAGGCGTGACTCTGTCCGTTAATATATGCAGTCTATGGTTTTTTCCCAATTTTCTTGTGGGCGGGACCACTCGCGGCCATTTTGGATAGCTCCAGTAGAGCAAATTTTTTGGCCCATTAGTTAGAACGGCGGAGATAGGCGTGACTCTGTCCGTTAATATATACAGTCTATGGTCCAAACTAAAGCCCACAGGCCAATTATTATTTTGCCAAATTACCCATTGAGATCATAAACACAAGTTCACAGCGTCACCCAGCCATCTTCAGTCAATTTTATTTTTATATACAAACATTTATTTTTGAATGTATCCCAAAATTCCATATATGGCGCTAATGTAGCTGTCGTGAGATGGTAAACTGTATGGACAGTGTCATACCTCATTTTAAAGTTCAGAACATCCCGATTCTGTCAAAAATGTTTTACCGTCTGTGTTGTCGGCCCCTGAACTAGTCTGGCTAACTAACGTGGCCCTCTTATTAAAACGTTCGGACACCCCTGGTTTAGACCATTCAGAAGTTTAATGTTATTGCTTTTGTTTCCGTTCCATTTTGGTCCATCCTGTGCAGTATATTAAGCTGTTAACATGGAGCTCGTATGCATACTGAAATCCACTCAGGTCTTTCCCACTGGGCACATATTATCTCCCAGATACCTCCAGCCATGTGGCCCAGACTGTGATGAGATAGCTCCCTACATGCATCCACCCAGGGGTCATGTATCAAAGCTTGTCAGCCCAGGTGCCAGTTCCTTGTTTATGGTCCATCCAACTCCCTCGCATCACAGAAATCAATCTGTCTTCAGCTGGGGCCAGGCCACAGCCCCCAGCCTGTGTCTCGCCCCAGGGCAAGGATGTCCACTATCCACAAAGCAAGTCTACCCATTGTGTGTGATAAATGTGTCTGTTCTTGCTGGTAATCATGGTAAAAAGAGCCATGTGGGATGAGGAAATATGTCACCCAAATATACTAGGCTGTCGCTGTGAGGTGGCACTATTGAGATGCATGGCCTGGAGGTGGAACCACTGGGCCTAGGGAGCCGTTTTGGGTGAGTAGTAAGATGCCCCAAACAGACATTGAATTCCAGGCATTTATAGATGCTTGTTGTTACTTTTTGTCAACCGATAAATCAAGATGTTTGTTTCAAAAGCGGAGCAACACAATTTTACAGAACACAACAACATAACAGACACGGTTTGGAAAATGTTTGTACAATTATATATAATACATTACAACAATCCCACAATGCATTGGTAAGGCACACTGGTATGGTACTGTATGGACACACTCACATACGACCCTGCACCTCTCCCCCACTACTCTCTCTATGCTGAGGGCATCACTCTGATTCCTCCACTTGCTTCTTCAGTAATTTTAGTAGTTTTATGCCTTCAGTTTTGAAAATGTATTTATATAATTATTTTAATCTGCTCCAAAGAGTAGCTCCTCCCTCAGAGACACACATTGATTTGAAAACAATTCCAAATACAGGCGCATGCTTTTTTTGTTTCCCCTGAGTCTGTAATTATGGTGAGCATCTCTATCATATGTTTTGTACATTAGGAGCAGATAGTTTCCCGATGCTCTGAAGATTATTTGAGCAGTTTTGAAGTTAATGAATTCCTGCTGTTAATTTCATTTGATTTGTGGAAAGAAAGGAGGTGATGTTGCTTGTCTACCTTGTCTAAGGACAACATGTACTATATGGGCAAGATATAGACACGGGCATTGGTACATGGCTGGTATCCTATTGATTTCATGTCACGTCCATGATAAAAAGTTCTATTTTTGCGTCATGAGAGTGAATAGACCTTGAGGGGTATATTTATCAAGGAGGTTTGGAGCAAAAGTGGATTGGAGCAAAGTAATTTATCATGCACATGTCCCATAGAACAAAACCACTGAAACCACTTTCTATTGCACTTTGCAAGGCAGCAATGTGGCTGAGTGGTTAGCACTCTCACTTTCACTACCAGACAGGGCCTTTCTTAGTGGAGTGGAGTGTTCTTCCCCTTTTTGTGTAGGTTTTCACCAGGTGCTACGGTTTCCCCTACCACTAAAAACCTGTACAACAGGGAAAATCCTCCAGCTCTGGTCCTGATCAAGCCGAGCATTAACATCTGGAGATGGGTGCCTGGGCACTGTACTACAACATGACATTGAAAACCAAGCCGTAATGGAGATGTATGTGTGCATTTCAAAAACCAGTGAAGATGGCCCCTGATTTTAAATTCTTTATGCTTTGATAATTAGTGGTGAATAGTTGCAATGGTATAATATACACCATTTCAAACCTAATTTTATAACTGAAAATGTTTTGACTATTCTCCATTTCCAGTTTGCAAATTTGCAAAGAGAATAGAGGTTAATGAAAACAAAAATACTGATAATTGACTCCAATATCTAGCCGCATGTGAAGCAGCGTTGAGCTATCATTCTAGACCTTGTTCTCTGACTTGTAGCTGCTGTCATGAACAAAGTGACGCAGAGGGACCACAGATGTCCGCACACTTCAACAGATCTTAAACATCCAGCTGGTTCCTGCCGTTCGCGCTAACAAGGCCGAGGAGATTAGAAAAGTCAGCAGGGCGCGAGGCACGAGTGATGACGGATTCCTGAACTCTGGCACACAACCCCCCAACTTTAACATATTGTCATTTCCAATTTTGTACTATTTGCCCTGATGTAAGGCCTATTGTTGCCTGTAGCACGACACAGATTGTTAAAGGGTCAGTAGGTTTTTCTAATCCGTCTGTAATGTTATGTGTTTGCAGCTTGTCCATCGGGGACGTATGGGAAAGTGTGCAACAGTCTGTGCCGCTGTCAGAACGGAGGCTCGTGTGACCCTGTGACCGGGAAGTGTGGGTGCCCTCCTGGAGTCCAGGGCGTGTTCTGTGAGGACGGTGTGTTTATACATTCTTTACACTTCTATACATGAAAGCTTGTTTGGAACGTGACAGTAACTATAAGGGTCAACAAAAATGTTCTTTGTTATTGTTTGACAAAACCGTTTGCAATGATAGTACACATATACCACAGATTAGTGATTAATGATTTTGAAATCCGTAAGTTAAGCAATTGATTGTTTCATTGATTTTGAACCTTTGTATAGCCTTAAACTAGCTGCGAAGAGGTTTTATGACCCAGACTTCAATGACTGCAGAATCAACTGGAAAATGTGTTATTAAGTATGTGTATTTAGTCTTATTTTATTTTGTAATTTTTGATTGATTGATTTTTTTTCTTTTTTGAGCAGAAAATATACATTCATAATATTTACAATATTTACAATCCTTAGTTTATGAAGAACTTTTGAACATTGTTATGTTGCCTACTGTGCTTACAGTATATACATACACAAGCATATACAAACATTAATACACAATGAAGCAAGTATTTGCCATAGTTACACCATGTGTTGTATATTTACAATTATATATTTACAAATGTATTTCTATTTACAATTTGTTAGCTCAAAATCGAGGGAGAAATAAGTAAAAACTTGTTGACTCCCAACCCATGAACATAATTTAAATACATTAATGAACATTACATTAATATACATACATTAATACACCATGGGCATCACTTGAGATGTTTTGTTCAAATGTATAAATAATCCCATATTCACTGAGCTTTCAAGCTGACGTGTTTCAGGACTGGACTTAGACTTAGACTCAGACAGACTTTATTGATCCACACATATTTATTGTCACAGTAGCATGCATAGTATTCCACATAAAAATAACAATGAAAATAACAATAAAGTATATTCCTAGAAATAAGAATAATAATAAGATGCTATTGTGAGAAAAGAAAAGTCTGGATATCGGTACTCAGGAATATACATATCTGTGAATATGTACACATTTACAGTATAAAATACAACGATAATAGGATACTACACATCTGTAAATATACAATATATACAAAGCAGAGCAACTTGACGTCTGTTTAGATGTGTTATCTGTCACAGAGCGGTGACTTGTTGAATAGGAGGATGGAGTGTGGCATGAACGTGCTTTTGTACCACTACAGTTGTAGGAGTTTCCAGTGTCCTGCTGTCTCTCACTGTTGTAAATGTCTCCATCTGACAGCCAATAACCTCTCCAGCTTTAAGGATCAGCTTGTCAATCCGGGAGAGGTCCCTTTTGGTGGTGCTGCCTCCCCAGCAGACCACAGCATAGAAAAGGGCGCTGGACTGACCGAGTGCTGATGTCACCATACCATAGTGTTAGCCTTAATGCAGAAGAGGCCGTTTTGAACTAGCTGGAGCCAATTTCCTTCAATGGAAATGTCTTCCGTGGTGTTAGCTTTGCGCAATAACAGGGACAGACGTGTTGAAAAATAACGGTTGCCGATGCAAGCTGGATTTTCCTCGCAAATGTTGGCATCTGATTGATCAATGCTTATATGGCACATATTTTAACTTACAAAGACAATATCAAAATGTAAACACCAGAATCATATACTATACTCGTATCGGTATTCGGTATCGGCGAAATCATACATTTTTAAGCCTAGTAGTAACAGTGAGTGTGACACAAATGGTTACGAAGTGAGAGGAGTTTTAAACATTGAAGAACTCGTTACTTCTCATTACATGCAAACTAGATGTCAAGCCTCTGTTTGTTATAATTGTGTTGATAATGGCTTAAAACTGGTGATGGGGTTAATTAGCCTTGTGTGAAGCAAGGCTTTTCTTGTGTTGAAGACACTGCCTTAACACTGGGTCAGTCTTGAAACACTGACATCTGGTGGATACATTTTATCATTGCAGCATCTGAACGGCTGTATTCATTTTAAATTATAAGTTGAAACTGATTTAAAAGAAAGACTGAGATCAAAAATATATTTCTTATCCATCTTTTTATTAATCTATTTATTCATTTGCTTAGAGACAACTCTTCGAACCTTTTGAATTGGTAAAAAAAAAGGTTTATTTCTTTTTATTGGAAAACTAGACATGAAATCAGCTTACAATGTTCTTCAAATTATTTGAACACAGACCACATAAATTCATATTATGCCGTACATTTGATAAGCATTTGTAATAGAATTTGTGTCAGGACATACTTCTCGCCCGCAGGATGTCCGAGGGGATACTTTGGGAGACTCTGCAACAAAAAGTGCATCTGTCCTAACTCTGGACATTGTCATCGGCTGCTGGGGGCGTGTCTCTGCTCTCCAGGTTTATATGGTCGCTACTGTCATCTATGTGAGTACTTCATTACACTTTTAACATATATATAGTATGTGTTTTTGCATCTTAAAATCATAATAGTAAATACTGTATTTTTCTAATATAATGCTTTCTATTACGTCCTGTTCACGCACTTAGTATAGTATTGTTTAGAATCATGGATATACAGTATAAATGCCATAACAAAAGTTCGTGGTCACGTGGTCAAGTTACAGGTCAGATCAGTTCACAGGCAATCTAAGTCACAGTAGGAACACATGTTTTCGAGGTTTTTTCCCCCCTGCAAAGTCTCTTGGTTTTCTAAAAACATTTAACTGAAATTGTATGTTTAAGTAACATTTTGAGAACAGACCTCGATATGCTGGGTTTATCTTATTAGAAAACATGTACTCATTCACATTCAGAAAGCTGATTGGTCCAAAACAAACACGTGAAGCACCAGCAACTTGATTAAACATCTGAAAACTCACCACCACTCGGAGTATGACACCTTTGCTAGCACCGGAGCTATTTCTGGATAACAGAGTCATTGACAGTGACTCTTATTGTTGACGGTTAAAACAATTTCTAAAGTTTCCCAGGGAGAACACAATGCAGTACTTGTATCGGTATTCGGTATCGGCAAGTACTCAAATTAAGGGACTATTAAGGGAAAGTGATGGTGTTGTATCCCTGCATAGAACCAAATTGTGTTAAGAGCTTGTTTGTTGTAGTTTCAAAGTTAGGTACTCCAGCTTTAAAGCACAAACATGAATCATTGTTGTCATTATTTGCAGTATTGAGTTCAGTAAAATTACCTCGTCATCTACTGGAAGTGGAAATCAAAAGCCCAATAAAAGCCATTTCAAATGTTTTGGTATGATGGAATCACACAGTTGTGATGAACTGTTGTGCATAGAAGCTCTTAATGAGTCTGGAGATGATTCATGTGTTTAAAACAACCAAAACACGTTGCATTTAGCAGAGTCAGCACGGAGCATGCTGTAGAGGTGGAGGAGGCAGAGTTATTGATGACGCTTACTGAAATAAGTAAAGAATTTCAGTTTTATGTCTGTTTTTTATGACCAAACCTGGTTGTAACCTGCTTGAAAGCTTAAACAGTTGCTACACTAAAGGCAACATTCCAGACAAAGCTGTACGATCTCCAAGAAAAGCAGGTGGAGCACTGTAAAACTTTTAAACAGAAACCTTTTTGGAATGTCGGATGTTTTTGCTATATTCATCTACCTATGAATGTGTGTAGAAGCTGGAGTGTTTTCTGTATGCTCTTTGTAGGTAAAACATTTATACAGGTACAAGTGAGTATTTACAAATGCTACACAAAGGATTTAAAAATGTCTTTAAAGAGTGCTTGCTACTCCTCCTGGCTAGCCTCACTGATCTTTTTGGATGGGGGCACCAAATGCGAGGGGAGCTGTCTGGGAAGGTAGTAGCCCTCCATCTTCCCCTCGATGAGATGAACGGCCACAGCAAACTCCTCATTGTCCAGCATCCCGTCCCCGTCCACGTCCGACAACCTCCAGATATGAGCCAGCACCGAATTGGGCAGCAGCGTCCCGGTCATCCACTCTCGGACCTTGGTGCCGCTGAGCTTGCCTTCGTTGGGGTTCAAATTGTAGAAGATTTCGTCGTACTTCGGCTTGAACTTCTCCACCGCCCATTCGTCAAAGTCCTCGTCACTGCCCTCCTCTTCCCTGGGGATTTCTTTAAAGGGGTCTCGTCTGTAATGCTCCGGCTTAAACGTTCCCAGGAAGTCGGCGTCGAGTACCCCCGGGAGGGATTTCTTGCTCAGTTCTTGTATTTTGAGCAGAGGAACCAGCTTGGCAATGTCACTGGTGAGGAGCTTGTCCAAGGAGGCCATCAGGCTCGGCTTGAGTGTCTTGAACTTGGAGAAATCTTGACCGAGAAGTTTTTCCTAAATAAATAGATGAGAATTGGTGAAGGTTTTTTAGTTGTCTATACATACAAAATGAAAGGGTTAGCACAGATATCGACTGATCATTATAACGTATTGGCAATTTTTTCAATATTTTTGCGTGGTTTTCTTGTTTTTTTGTTGTTGTTGTGGACTACTTACTATCTATGTGTCTGACTAGTTTAGTTTGGTACATTTTGGTCATACTGTAAATGAAAGTAAATAATTCGCATAAAATCAAAACAAATACAAATCATTGTCTGTTACCTGGAAGATCGATCCAATTTGGCTGTTACGCATCCAGTTTATACAATGTACGCCATTTTAAAAACTATTTTAAATTATGCTTCAGACATTTAAAGAAAATTAGGTGTTAAATATAGTTTTAAAACAATATTTTTATACACATTATTACAGACTATATAACAATTTTATATAACCATACAGATTGACCCCTGTCTAGATTTATTTTCTCACCTGCATTTTGGTGCAGTCTGGGAAATCTCCTGCTGGAACACGCTGCTGCTGCTGGATCTTGCGGAAAATCTCTGGAAGATCATAGATGAGGTTGTGTTTCTTGCTTTCTCTGCAGAAGATGGAGGGCATCTCCTTCTTCAGGTGGCCGATAATGTGGGCGTGGGCCTGCACAGTCATTCAAATGAATATACATTTTTATCAGAATTGTCTTGGGCATACAGGACTAGATTTATCAGAGAAAACATTATTTTGATGTAATTCTTCAATTTTGTAACTTTAGAAGTCTTTTCAGTATATTTTTGTTTTATAATATAGCTCTATTCTAATGATTATTATATTGTAATAATATAGTAAAATTATTATCTAAATCAGGGTGCTCAAACTTTGGTGAATAGTGAAAGTGAATGTTTTGTTGTGCATCCCAACAGAAAGACCAAAACAAATCAGACCAAACCATGATCTTAATAGAACATACAGTATGTTCTCTTTTGCATACTTGTAAGAAAGATGTAAATTGGCTGATTAGCTGAGTGAAAACTAGATTAACAAACTGTTTTAGATCAGAAACTACTCAAGATTTTATTAAATAGCTAAATTTGTTGTGATTTGAATGGTTTTCAAATCACGGTTTTGCCTAATACACCATTTACAGGAAGATAGAAAATAGAGCACCTCAGATCTAATATTTTACTTCCAATCACATGTGATTAATCTTGTTCTGGCCAATTTTGGGCAAAAGGCTTTCTAAGCTAAAAATATTTAGTTAAAAATATTTAGCTTAGAAACTTCAAAATTCAAAGCGTGTGTTCATTCATAATCAGACAAACCCTGGCTTGTTATTTCCTCTGCATATTTGTACATTTCGTAAAATGTTATGCTTACCCTCACTAATCTGGCCCTTTTCACTAGATCATTGAGTTTCCTTATGGCAGCGTTGCGCGGCAGGTTCCTTATATCCGTCAGCAGATCCTCCTCCTCCAACTCAATCAGCTCATAATGGTCACACTTCTGCCTGGGCTCGGACCAGAAAGAGCCAATGTAGACTTTCAGGATCTCGGGGGTCTTGAACACTTTCCCCAGCGACCACATGAGGGCGCCGTACACTCTCATCAGCTGCTGGGAGTCCACCGTGTCGGCCTTGTTGAGAACCACACGCAGTTTGTCTTCGTGTCCGCACAGGGCCCCGAAGGCCCGGGTTAGCTCATCTGAAAACTCCAGCTTGTGCGCATCAAACAGCAGGATGATCCGGTCCACTCTCTCGGCGAACCAACGCAACACCGCTGGAAAGTCATAGCCTGCGGAGAGGAGGGTTGGGGGGGAGAAAGGATAACATAGGGTTTTGATTAGCGCCTTGTGTGTATTGTGGCAAGGCTGCACTGTCTCAAAGCCTGGAGGAATGTGTAAGATATCCCAGCGCCCCTTGTTGACGTTGAGCCACTTCAGTTACACCCATGGATTAATGGTGCTATTAAACACAGCAGAGCCAGAGGTGACTGACTGCCCAGATCCTCCCAACTTTTGTTCTCCAGTTGTGCTTCTGGCTGCTCGAGTTTGCAATAATGACAACCATATTTCATTGACAAAACTGTTATCTGAATCTCATGCAGCCACTGTTAAATAAGAAATAATATGCTTCATTTTTGGCCATTAAAAATAGAAATAAGTAGAAAATATTGTGGAAAAAGTATCAAAGTCAAACAATTCTTTCCGGCTGTAACTCCCCATGCTAACACCAGAGGGATGAAAGCATGTCATTTCAACAAAATTGCCAGAACTAATTTATTGGAAATACTTTTGTTTTAAATGGCAGAAAACTGCTCTGAGTGATATTGTACGATTACAGGACTGAGACATGAGCTTTTAGACCAGGGGAGTGAAACCGGTCCTCAAAGCGCCAGGTTTGAACTCCAACCAAGCATGAGCCCAGCAGACTCCAGACCATTTCAACTGAGTCCAGTCTTAGCCTAGCGACATGAGGAAATGGGTGGAGTCTGATGTGCTCCTACTCGGTTGGAATGAAAACCTGCAGCTACGGTACATTGGTCCTTTCAGGAACCAGTTTGACGCCCCTGTAGAGTGGACTTTTTTTTATGAGGTCGTAACATGATAAAAGCTCAAAACATCGATTTGCATAATGCCTACTAATTAACTAATGGAAGTGCAATTAGCAAAAGTTATAGGTGAACTATGCAACACATGAATAATGTATGTGTCCAACTGCAAATTATTTTCTTAAGTAGAAATATGTTTTTCTTACTACTGTAGTTGCTCAGCCTCAAAATGTTACAGGCATAATGCCACTAGCAGGAGAGTAGTGTAAATAAGTGGCTTGGTCATGATTGTTTTTGGCAACCTCAAAGGAAAAGGGAAAACATATTTTGTTTTCTGTTAACGTGCAACCCTATACACGCCAATGCATGAGAAAAGAAACACTTTTGTATGGTAATGATAACAATATGGTATGGTAATGATAACAATATGGTATGGTAATGATAACGATAGATAACCCCACATACCTCGACTGAGCCTCTTCCTCGCTGCAGTCAATATGCCTGGTGTGTCTATAATGCTGATATTTTCAAGAACTGGATTTGGCATTTGAACACACTGGAATCTGTACACAAAAGCATTCAAATTTGAACGTTTACAACATCAAAAATATGCAAAACATCCAATTTTTGCTGGTACCTGTTCAAAAATGTATTCCCAAAAGGATCCAAGTTCCTGAACGGCTTTTTAGGGTCCATCGTCAAAGCATTTCCCGGTATGATGCCTTCTACATCTCCATGCATAAGCGCAGAGAAGCAATCTGTTGTTGGCTCTGGACCGACTCTACCACCTAAAAAGTCTTGCTCTATAAGATACCTATGACCAGATCACATCTTTAACTTAATTTCATAACAAAATGGATGCTGTGATGAATTTCTAATACCTTATAAATGTTGTCTTCCCTGTGGAGTATTGGCCCATCACGAGAATCATCGGCTTGTTCTCAAAGTCTGCATCCTCGTAACTGGGCGAATGGAAGTGATGAAACAAATAATGCTTCTCAATTGGCAGCAGCCTCTTGTAGTAGAGATTTTTCAGCTCCTCCGTCACCAAGTTCACGTCTTTGATCGCTTTGGGGCTGCTCCTGAACCTGCGAAGCGACATGGCGAGGGTTTAGAATGAGTGTGAGGCGAAGGGTGAAGACTGAAGGGGGGACTTGCTCCGGCTGGCTCCCCTCTACAAGCAAACTGAAAGATGGAGGAATGCACACAAGAAGTATTATCAGTTTTTCTTCTCACAGCTGTCTGGACATTTGAGAGGGTGGAGAGGGTGTAACTAGAGCCTGCAGCTGAGGACAGTGTCAAGCGGGACAGGGTGGAGTGGAGGGGAGATCGCTTTTGTTGCTGAGAGGAGAGGATCTTGGCAAAAGGTCCTGAAAACTGATGGAAGTTTAAAGGGGTGTTTGGGTTTGGATGTACAGTATATAGCACATCATTATAGATTGGGGTGATGGTATTTGAGGGTAAAATATTAGAAAAGGAAAAGATGGGTGGTCAACATTCAACTATTGGCTCTGCCCTTTGATCAGTTCATCATGAATAATCAATTGGTAGAGACTTTGCATAAACTTTAAAGCTGGTTTACACAACTTTTTAGTAATGTAAGTTATAAAACTCATGGTTCCTGGCTCTAAAAGAGTTTGGTTCTAGCACTACTTTTCATATGCATGCCATTTTTGGTTTCTGTCACATTGCTTTTTCAGACAGAAAAGTGAAAAGGAGAGGACCACCCACTCTCAGTCATCCAGCTCTCATCCTAACAAATAGAAACTTACAGGTGCCATGTTGTGGTCTGATTTATTCTTAGCATTTTACTTTTATAAATTCAGTGCCAGGCGGCACCAGTCAGTTCTGTGGAGACACTTGTACAGCTGTTTGCTCTGAGGAGTGAGGCTTAATTTCTGTGATTATATGTGTTGTTTTGTGTTTTTATGTGATGTGTTTGTCTTATCCTGGGCCATGAGTCTGCTGTAAAAGTTTGATGAAGGTGATAAAAAAAGAATGGATTAATTTATGAAAACTTCACTTGGATTTGGTTTTCAACCAGCATCACATAAGATAAATATATGTATTGATACATAATAATAATACAAAGCTAGTTGTAGCTTTACACAAAAACATGCACTCCAGCAAATTTACAACTTGTAACTTTTGTTGGAAGATATCTATATCACTATACATAAAAAAATATAATGTGTAAATCTAAGTTTGTTCATAGCTGCCCAAGCTTATGCCAGAGAGACAGATTGTTATAGCAGTTAGAGCCAGAAGACAGTATGCATAAATATGAAGCCGGTATTTTGTGTTATGTAAGAGGAAGTCACAGCACAATGAATAATGCAATGTCCACCATTCTTCATAATCAGAGCTTAAGACACAATTATATTAAAATATATAGCTTAACTTTTATGGACACAAGGAGCCAAACAGTGATGCAACTGAATGTGGGGCTGGTCTGTCAATAAACTTCTCATATATTGAAGTAGTGATGTAAGAATGTGATGATGTCATGCTTTTGAGGGTGTCTGCATACTGGGTAGTTTAATAGTGGGTCCATTGCTTCTAACTGTTGCAGATGTCTTAGTTTTGTGCTTTAAATAAGTGTTTCCCAACCATTGGTACACAAGGATATTTTGCAAATTAATTGATATTAACTTGCAAACTTTTTATAGATTGAAGTTTAAGAATGAGGTGTTTTTGCTTAGACTTTGAGTCCAGTTTTGGTTCAGCTCAGTCAAGCATTCATTTTGTTTTGTGAAAAATGTAAGACTCTAGTTAAATCAAACCAATCATTTGGTTTTTGGCTACTGGTTGCCTCACTTCTGCCAGTGTGCCCCAGGGCAGCTGTGGCTACTGTAGTAGTTTATCACCACTGTGTATGGAGTGACTGAATAATGACATGTAAAGCGTCTTTGAGTGTCCAAAAAAGCACTATATAAAACTGATGCATTATTATTATTGTTATTATTAATATCTTTATATTAAAAATACATAATATTACCAGTGGGGGCAGGTTCCGGCCCAAAAGTGGACAAAATGACGGGCGCTGACATGCTTGTAATACCACCCCGGGCCGATGGGGGTGAACCCGGAATGCTAACATATAGCATTGGCAGACTTCTCGAAAACACCTTTACAAGATGGTCCAAAAGTTGGCTCTTGGCCCAAAGCTCCGTTCCACATGTGTGTCAATGCTGAGGGGGTGGATTTTTTTGGATCACTCTGGTTTACTCGCTGTGAGTCTCTCGTTCAAATGAATGGAGCTGCGCCGGCTGCATTTTTTCACAATTTTCTTGTGGGCGGGACCACTTGCTGCCATTTTGGATAGCTCCAGTAGAGCACATTTTTTGACCCATTTGTTTGAACGGCGGAGATAGGCGTGACTACGTCCGTTAATATATACAGTTTATGAATATTACAAATGCAAAATATGAGATGAATACCAAACTTTTCAAGAAGAAAATTATTAGGTAGAACAGCCTAAATGTTGTTGCCCCTGACCAAAAATAGTTGAATACATTTGGGTTTGACAAATATTCCTCCTTAAGAATACAGGGGACTCGTGCCCTTTCTAAGATGGTGACGGGGTACACAGGCTATAAAACCTGAAAACCACTGCGTTCAGTCACAGAGCTCATATAAAAGAACCGTCTGTTTAGTAATACTGTTTGTGTTTTGTTTCCGGCCCCCAGCGTGTCCCAGGTGGACGCACGGCGCTGGCTGCTCCAAAGAATGTGACTGTGTCCAAGAACATTCCAGCCACTGTGACCCCAAAACAGGGACGTGTGTCTGTAAGCCTGCATTCCATGGGGCGCACTGCGAGAGAGGTACTGTCATCTCATCATGATACATAAATATCATACTGACTTTTTTATATTGTATAAGGAATCAATCCAGTTACATGTTTGTACCAGAAGTTCCTGTGTAGATGGATCTGGACTTTATGGTTGTTCTTTGATAACAATGTTGTAACATGAGCTCAAAAAAGGACATTTTTCAAATATCAGTTATTATTTATTGCAATATTTCTTAATCTGCATTGTTCCAGCCAAAGATACAGTAAAATCCTGATTTGGAATCAGTTTTTAAAGTTCCAAATATGAATGTTTAGAGCTGTGTTCCCTGTTTTATTGTGTATGACTGAGTGCGTTTTTTTTGAGAGGTCAAAACATCTTATAACAGTGGTGCAGAGATGGGCCCATTCCGAATGTACGCGGTGTGACATAGCCCATGAGTTATTGGGAACGCTCCCACATGCACACCTGCACACACACACACACACACACACACACACACACAGATGTTTCTTGTTTTTGTAAGTGGAAAAACTGGTGCTATCATAAAAACAGGTCTTCACTGGTAGAGACAATGTGATAGTGTCTTTGGGCGAGTGGTTAGCACCCTCTTCTCAGCAAGATTTCCTGGGTTCGATTCCATCTCCAGACAAGGACTTTCTGAGTGGAGTTTGCATTCCCTCCCTGTATCTGCATAGTTTTCTTCTGGGTGCTCTACTACAGCAACCACTGCCTCTCTCAGAGGCCCTAGTGACATTAGTTGGAGATGTCAAATGCAAAGGACAAATTTCTCTACTGGGAGAATAACCAAACACTCTGGTCCAAGGACACAATGTATTGTATGCTCTACTATCCCACTGTTGCTGGGCCAGATGACCCGGCCTCCAAAGTCAAAGTTCAGTTGTTTCATACTGAAACAACTACATACATATATTTTTTTTGGTAAGTACATAATTCCACACGAGTTAATTCATAGTTTTGATGCCTTCAGTGTGAATCTACAATTTCCATAGTCATGTAAATAAGTAAGTAAGTAAGTAAGTAAGTTTTTATTTATATACCGCCTTTTCACTGCAGATCTGAGTCTCAAAGCGGTTTACAATTGTTAATTATGGGCATTTGTCTCTCACTCCACACAGAGATGGGAGCGGGGCCAGTACAGGAGGCACATGCCAGAACTATTGGACATATTTTTAGTGGTAGGGGAAACCGGAGTACCCGGAGGAAACCTACGCAGACACGGGGAGAACATGCAAACTCCACTCAGAAAGGCCCTGGTCCGACCGGGATTCGAACCCAGGACCTTCTTGCTGAGAGGCGAGAGTGCTATCCACTCAGCCACCGTGCCGCCCTAAGATATAAGACAACTCTTTGAATGAGAAGGTGTGTCCAAACATTTGGTCTATACTGTACATACTGAAATGGTTTTGAAAGTGAGAAATTATTTTTATCCATTTGTATCCATCTCTATAGCGGAGATGGGGTTCTATTGTAACACTCTATTGAAATCAATTTAGAGTGTGTGTTGGTGTGGGTGTATGTGAATGTGTGTGTGTGTGTGTGTGTGTGTGTGTGTGTTGTGTGTGAATGTCAGAAAAAAACCTATTGATTTATAACTTCAAAATGCAATTTTAGAGCTGTTTGTCCATATAATTCCTGAGATTGTCATTCATAACCTCCTAAATATTGCCAAAAAACTGAGATTTCTGCTTGGTATGGCAGAAATTTGTTGAGAGCAGGACAGGAAATAAAACAAATTTTACTCCCACTCTTCAAATCTGTCCTGTGTGAATCTCCTGGGGTTGAGTAGGGCCGTTTACTGCAAGCACTTAAAACACTTTCTCCTCTTCTTCTTGTTCCGTTGGTTCATCTGGGCTTGGAGCTCTTCTACTTGGAGCTTGGTTTTCTGCAGCTGATCATCTAAACTCTTCAGTGACTCCTCCAGTTCTTCACATCTGTTGAGAGCAGAAGTTCTCTCCTCCTCGCTTTGATTGAAATTGGTGGTCAACTCCAGGATTGTAGTTTCCTGCTGGGTCCTCTGCTACATCGTGGCTGTGTGGTCACTGGTACATTTCTCCAGCTCATTCCTAAAATGCATCTTGCGTGTTTCCAAGTCTATTTTGAGTTCTAGGACTTTGCTGCTCTCTGCGTTCAGGATTTTGTCCAGCTCCTGGGCCTTGTTTTGTGCCTCTTCAGCTGTGTTCCTCTGCTCAGTCAGAGCAGACACTAGGGAGAGGACCTTCTTCTTCAGAGCCTTTTCTACTGCCTTTACCTCCTCAGTGTGGGCCAACTCCAGGGAGAGGACCTTCTTTTACAATACTATAATATACAATGTATTCTTGTATAGCCCTAAATCACAACAGTAGTCATCTCAGAGGACTTACCAAAACCATTGAAATCACCAACACAGATCTGAGAATCAACAGTTAAGACACAAAAAAGAACGCATGTTGATAAATGTCCATACATGTTGTAGAATGTTAAAGTGTCCTTGATCATCACCTCTGTCCTGTTTGTTAGACACTAACGGTCAAACAGACCCTCTTGCATCGGCAAGGAAAAACTCACAAAAACCCAGTGGGAAAAAAGTGAGAAACCTCGGGGAGACCCACATGGAGAGAGGGATTTATTTTATTTATTTTATTTATTTATTTGTTTATTTGACAGGGAAATTGCACAATAAATGTATTGTTCAGACCGGATATAGCTACAAGCTAATTTTCATCCGTAGTCCCTGAGGCAGAGGCAACGTGACAGCAGGTTTACAGTGTGCAAAGAATTGATAAATAGAAAGGGATCCACTCCACACGGACGGACAGAACGAGGACCAGGGCTCGCAGCGGCTGCAGAACGTGGACAGGTCCGGTGCAGGACTGAAGCAGCTCCCAGGCGGGTCGGGCAGGGCAGTCCACAGGTGTAGATGGAGGAGGTCAGGTTCAGAGATCCCGTTGTCGCAACATGAAACAGACAATGGGACAATTGGTGAATAGCAATGAACTGACTACAGTCAAAATCCTAATAATGCTAAACAGATAAAGTAGGAAGGAGGAGAGGATATTGCTCAAGTTACCATACTTCTCCCAGCAAACTGACTCCCTATGCAGCTTGACTGACAGTCTGAGGAGTTTAGCCTTCCCTGAATCTTGCCTTCCAAACCATATGCTAAACTGAGGAGGACTGTTTTAGCCTAGCCTAGGACGTAGGGTTGAAGATGCAAGCAGACTCCAAGACCGGACAAACAACCTAACCAAATGCTAAAGGGAAGAAGAGTGTTTTAAGCCTGGCGTTGAATGTAGAGACCGTGTCTGCTTCCTTAACGTGGGTGGGGAGCTGATTCCACAGTAAAGGAGCTTGGTACCGACAGTGCTTTGTGAGACTGTAGGAACCACCAGAACTCTGGCGTTCCAAGTCTCGTCTACTGTTTTAATTTCCTCAGCTTGGACCGACTCCAGGAACAGGTGGAGCTTTTTCTCAGCCTCCTCTGTTGTCTTCATCTGCTTAGTAAGTTCAATCTTTTGAGAGAGGGCCTTCATCTTCTCATTCCAAACCTCTAGAGATCTCTGCTTCTTACGTTGGGGTTCTGCAGCCATCACTCTCACTAGCTCAGTTTGTAGAGCATCTTCTCAGCGCTGAAGTGAGGGGGTTTGAGTCCTGTTCCTGACATAAACATAATTGGTTGAGTGCTGTCACATCGACTCTCCCACATCTGATTCTTCTGTCATTCACTAGTCACTTTACCCGTTGTTATTATTACTGCATTATTACATATCCATCCATCTGATACTTCTGCCACTCACAAGTTACTTTACCTGTTGATATTATTACTGATGTTTATTCTGCTCATATTCTCGGCTGCCACAGTACAATGGACACATCTGTAAATACTTCTGAACCAAGTGCAATTATAGCTCCAGAGTTTATTTTACTTAATTTTATCATACTCTATTTCACCATCTTATTATCTTATTATAATTATATTGTCCATTATCTTAAATAATAGACTCTATTTAATGTGTGCAATCTGAGTGCTCTTATTTCCTTCTTTCTCTGCTGTAACATGCGTAACGATGACACTGAAATTTCTCCACTCTGGGACGAATAAAGGAATATCTTATCTTGTCTTAAAGACCTTATGCAGGGTTTGATTAATTGGAAATACAGTTTTAATAACATTTTATATTAGAAGAGAACTACTAAAGGTTTCAAAATCAATTGTTTTTTTTTTTGTCTGATCCCCCCCAAATTGAGAAAACCCCATAGCGACGCCCCTTAGAAACGTCTCCCTTGGTGACGTCAGAGCGGGTACGTTTCAACGCAGTGAGTTGTTTACAATTTGGTATTTGATTGTCCTTTTTCGCGGATATTCAAGATGACAAGGCGGTGTACAGCGAATATAACGCTATTACCAGTTTGTCTTTTCACATTGGCCCAGTGATAGCCCAGGATCAATCTCCACTCCAGTCACATTTTCACTCTTAAAACGGCAACATATGTGTAATGAGCTGTTGACACCTGTAGAGTGCAGTATTGTGTCAGACATCAGTGGAGAGAAGAGAGGATAGGCGATCTGTGGCATAGATCCATGGCTTTCAATGCATGGGCGTTACCCGCTATGACCAAGCCCCAGCGATCCAAGATGGCGCCCTATTCAAATGAATGGTTGTGCTCAGTGGCGCTTTGTGACGGCATGAGGGCTGAAAGATTAGCGGAAGTTGCCTGAAACTCGCAAAGATCTATGGGAAACTCGCCTGTATTTGGGCATCGTCTGGTCCTCCCGGTTCTGCGCAGTGGATAATCTCCCATAATGCGTTGCGCCAAACACGCGTGTGTGGGTCTCACGCACGTGCACAGAGGGGCTCGGCCGCGCTCTGACCAATCAGAGCAGTTCATCAGAGCGGGAGTTAGAGCGAGAGCCAGAGGAGCAGAGTTTGTGGCACTAAAGTGTGGATTTAAACAAAACCGAAGGATTTAAGAAGAAAAAAAGTTCAGGATGACAAGGGACACTAAAATCCCCACAAAATCCGATCTTTATTAAAGCTGTAGGTTCTCTGTCAGCTGAGGTCGAGCTGTTTTAATATGCATTGAGTTCTATGGGGAAAATTTCTGGGTAGCCCACGTGAATTTAGTCTGGTTCAGTCTGCAGTACCGCGAGAATCCCCTGAGCACATGGGTTATTCAGCTACAAACTAGTAATACCCTATCCAGTTAATATAATACATCCATGGCTATGACGTCACACACAGGTTAGAGCATAGACAACTTAAATTCATTAAAAACACATTCTTTTTATAAAATAAAGGATTTTTTTTTCGGAATCTATTTCAGATTGACAATAATTGATTAAATGTTATGCAATTTTGATATCCAAAATTAAAAAATTAAAAAAACCCTGCATAAGGTCTTTAAACTAGCTCCTATTGGTGAAAGCTAGCCTGTGTCCTTCTGCAAGACACTGGGTGGAATGGTTTATGAACATATGTTAGTGAAGGAGGGATTGGTTCCTTGATGTGAACTGCTTTGAGAGCCTTGAATGTGAAGAGCTTTGAGACCACTTAATATTAATGTATATAAGTCATGAGAAGTACTGAGAGCATTCATCAGTGCAGGCTGTTTAAACTTTTTCTTTGGCGCTCTCTTGTGCCTATAAAAGGCTTTACAACCCCCTCTACTCCATTGCCCACACAGTATCTGCACGTTTGCCCGCTCCAGGTGTGAATGTGTGCCCTTGTTGATATGTCATAGACAAAACAAGCTGTTATAAATGACTAAGTGAAACTCTCCATTCGGCCCTACCTTATATTTGACTAAAGAATTACACATGAGCCATTTCTCTATACATTATGCGTTTGATGGATTCGATGTCAGCTGGCTATTCAAATGTTTTTGAGTGCAGGTGTTTCCACTGTTAGATGCGTATAAAAAGCACGTGTTGTTCCCTCCACAGGGCGTCCTCTGGCTGTTTGCTCTGTCCGGTTGATGGGGAGTTCACCCTTGTGTGCTGACCTAAAATGATACTTGTCTGAGGTTAGCAGTTTGGGTTAAAATCCAGGCTTTGCAGGGGACTAGATAAACACAGGGATAATGTGTCGGCCATATAGAACTACAGGCCCGCCGGGGTTGTCAAAGCAGAATTCTGAAAGAGCAGAGATTTTGAGGCTTCGGTTACACACTGGTTCATGACAGGGCTGATTGACTTAAGTTACTACTGCTGAGACCATTGGCAGACGCAGAGTAAACAAACAGCATTTGATGACTATTGCTTCTGTTCAATTTTGCAGAGCTGTCTGTATGTGGCTTTCCTTTAAGTACTGTTTTATCACAGAGGAAAATAGATTCTTCAAACTGTAGTTCATTTAATAACGGATTTGTTTTTTTAACTTTACACGGACGAATACATGCTGAGAAGAGGTGTTATGACTCATATAATTCTTTAATGACTGCAGATTGAAATTCAAATGTGTCTAATATGTTTATTTTTAATCATGGAGGTCATTGTTGAAATTCTGATCATTTGTTTTGGTCATAATGTATAAACAATCCCATATTCCTGATCTTTCGTGATCAAAACAACCAACCCATATCGTTAATTACTGCCATAAACCGAATTATTTTTTACTAATTGTAAAATTGTGGTAAAATTTTGATATTGTAGTCAATGCTGTTTCAAGGGTGTACATTATATATCTTGTATTTTGTTTATTACTTCTGCCAAAGAGGTTATGATTTCATTCCAAAAATTGTTTGTACCATGATGTTGTAGCCACATTTTAACCACGTGGGGAAAAAAGCTTAAATGTCTTGCGCTGATGCCAAATCTATTGTGTTCACAATGTCCGGATGGTTACCATGGAGCCGGCTGCTTGTCCCAGTGTTCCTGTCCCACTAACATCAGCTGTGATCCTCGAACTGGACAGTGCGTATGTCCCCCCGGCCTGAGAGGCTCGGATTGTGCAACATGTAAGAAAGTCATATATAATGCTTTAACTGTGGGTTCTTCTATCACTTCTTCTTCTGGTTATTTCTCCCATAGGAACCATTTTGGAATTTATGGAACATTTGGTTAGATTAACTGGTTTCTATTGCACTGAAACTGTGCACATAAACCTATTTAATGTCTATGAACAGTAGGTTAGATAAGAGTTAAGAAATTAGTACCGGCTGTCTGCTGAGCTAAAATTAATGTATTTGCATATTCTTAAAAAGGTGATTGGCAGGTGAGCAACAGTAACGTAAACAGCGACGTCATCAAAGCGCGCTTGGCTACCATGTCGGCTAATAACACAGGGCTAATAATACATTTTGAATATTAAGGGCTGTCTAATATTTGTTCAAATATATAAATATTTTTGAATTTGGAAGTCAAAGCCATGGATGTATTATATTAACTGGATAGGGTATTACTAGCTTGTAGCTGAATAACTCATGTGCTCGGGGGATTCTCGCGGTACTGCAGACTGAACCAGACTAAATTCACGTGGGCTACCCAGAAATTTTCCCCATAGAACTCAATGCATATTAAAACAGCTCGACCTCAGCTGACAGAGAACCTGACAGAGAACCTACAGCTTTAATAAGGATCGGATTTTGTGGGGATTTTAGTGTCCCTTGTCATCCTGAACTTTTTTTCTTCTTAAATCCTTCGGTTTTGTTTAAATCCACACTTTAGTGCCACAAACTCTGCTCCTCTGGCTCTCGCTCTAACTCCCGCTCTGATGAACTGCTCTGATTGGTCAGAGCGCGGCCGAGCCCCTCTGTGCACGTGCGTGAGACCCGGTGTGAGACCCACACACGCGTGTTTGGCGCAACGCATTATGGGAGATCATCCACTGCGCAGAACCGGGAGGACCAGACGATGCCCAAATACAGGCGAGTTTCCCATAGATCTTTGCGAGTTTCAGGCAACTTCCGCTAATCTTTCAGCCCCCATGCCGTCACAAAGCGCCACTGAGCACAACCATTCATTTGAATAGGGCGCCATCTTGGATCGCCGGGGCTTGGTCAAAGCCCTAGTGATTACCAGCGCTGTAGAGCAGGGGGTCTTACGTGCGTCCTGTATTATATTTTCATAAAAATATTCCTTTATTACCTACAATGTATGTTTGATGTACCTTTCAAAACTGCATGAGTCCCCAATATAGGATCCTGCGTTGGGGAAAAACACGGAAGTGGGCGGAGCTTTGATGCAGACGCCGGTAACGGCACTTTTACAGTCATAGAAGACACTCAGAGTAAAGACGTATGTTTACAAGCACTGACCCCGTCCTCAGCCCTGGTTTAGTCCTGGTTTAGTCCTGGTTTGGTTGTTTTCGAGCGTGAGTCCCCGCGATCACTTTGCTGCTCTCTGATGTGGAGGATGTTCGCTGCTGCGAGCATCTCACAGCGGACAGTTTTTAAGGTAGTATGATCCATGCTTCAGTGATCAGAGGAATTTAGGGGGTACTGTGGCGTGCGAGAACGCAAAACTCCGGTTATCTCTGTCTACACACAAATGCATTAACGGAGTTTTCAAAAATCTCCACTTTGCCCGGAGTTTTTTGCATATATTCGTTTAGAATGTGTAATTTTTTATTTATTTAATGCGATCTACCAATACTACCTTTGCGATCGACTGGTAGATCGCGATCGACGTATTGAGCACCCCTGCTGTAGAGGCTAGAGGACGCAGGCTGTCTGCTGCTCGTTCTGTGAGTGGAGGAGAGCTGGCGTCACGCTAAGTCTCTACTCAGCACTTATTACGGCCTGAATTCATACACAAGCTGAATCAATGAGCTCAAGTTTTCAATTAAATTACGGATTATAATATTCGAGATAAACTCTGCAGGCTGTCGCAGTTCTTGCTCTAGCCTTATCCCCTTTAATATTCTTTCAATATTTGATACATTGACAACTCTATGCCTTTGTCGTTCTCATTAGCAGAAAAGTTGTGTCCAAACATTCGTACCTTCAGACTTATTTTGGCTGTTGTAAGGTTTTGATGTGTTAAGAGGATTGTCTTGACAAGGAACATTTTGACGTTTTTTTTTTTCATTCCAAGAAAGACATGTATTGTATCTTTATGAAATAGGATCATTTTGTCATTGTTAATGCCATTTTAACCACAGTCTTCCCTGACAAAACCACAAAGACAAAAGACAAGCCCTTCCTTTCATTTATTTCATTTTCATTTCATTTTTTGATAAAACAATTTTTTGATCCACCTACTGTGGATCCTACCGTGTTTCAACGGTAGGATCCAAAGTTCTCCCTCACACACACCACACACAAGGGGGGGGGGAGGTGTAGTCACTTTAGTTTGAAAATCTTTATTTAAACCAACAATAACAATTCCCAGACCAGAACCTTGACTACCATAGAAGAATCAGCCTAGCCTGGCTCCTGCCGACCTTTAGCCCCGCCTCCATGAAATTTCAGCGGGCAGGTCGGTCTGGCATTTCTCAATTGAAAAACTATTATGCCCGGTAAGAAACATACCGGGCCAGTCAGAGTATTTAAGGTACAAAGTAGAAATTATGAGTGTTTTAATGTAGATAGTTGCAGTAGCTAAAGGGAACTTGGTTAACTAAATGGTTGCTAATGGAGACTACAAGTTCCTGGTTCGGATTTGTGCGAAAAACACCTAGAGACAGCGCATTGAGACGTGGTACTCCACAGTTATGCTGTTATTGTTTTATTGAATAGTTCACTTGTATTTGATTGATCAATTTCACATTGGACCAATAGCTAACAATACATGTGTGTCCTTTAAAGTCAATGCTGGATAGAAATCTTTGGAAATACATATTCAATTGAAACACATGTAAAATCCACTAATATTTGTTACTTCCCTCTAGATTTAGATTTAGACTTAGACAGACATTGATCCACAAGGGAAATTGCGTTGTCACAGTAACTCGCATAGTATTTCACAGTACAAAATAAAAATAAAAATAACACTAAAGTAATAATCTGAAAAATAATTATAATAATAAGATAAGATAATATTGTGAGAAAAAAACTGAGCATCTATTTACACTTACTTGAAATTATTCATAAGAATTTATACTAAGACAGTTACTTTAGTAGTTTTTACAAAGAACTTGTGAGTAGGGGATGGGGCCGCAACCACTGTTAAGTTTTGATGTGACATTAAAAACCACAATATCAATAGTGTGAGGATGGGTTTTCCGCCACTATTGACAGAGCTACTGTATTTCACTGGGTTTGTGGAAAAAGTAGCCCTAAAGACTACTGTGGTCTGTCATTCCACAAATGTCAATAACCAGGATGGAATACTCTGAGGTCTCTCCAGTCCTTCTCCAGTCCTTCATGTCCATCCTCCTCTTGTTTATACAGTATGGTTAATGTTACTGTATGTAGAGACTGGCGTTTGCTCATTTCCTTATATTTCTTGACAGTTCAGGACGGTGCCATAATTTCACACAATCACAGTTAGAGCTTTAAAATGATTATGTTACATATGATGAAATATCCAACTATACATTACATTATGGGCACTTTTGGTCATGAGTCATACTTGAATTTTGCAATGATTTGAGGTTTGATGCAATACTGATACAAAACCAATCTTCAACTTGCAAAAAAAGGCAGTAAGAGAAATCACACATAGAATACAATTATAATATACAGGCCTAGAGTCATCCACATTAAAATGTCAGCACATTAAAAGTTCAAATGTTGAGCAGAAACCAAAATTAAATATAAAAATCTGAAAAAAATCTATGAAATATACTGATTTTGAAGGTTTAACACACTTGGTTTCACATGTATAAGGTTCTCTCTTTAGAACCGTGCACCATTGCTATGGACAGTGTCAACTACACAATATCCACACAAGTCAAATCCACTTGATCAATGACTACTGGCAAGACAGCACGTGAGGGGGCTTCCGATTTATGGCAGAACAGAATATGGTCAAAAAGCAGAGTTCAGAACTGATTTTGTATATCTGTTAGATGGGTTGATTTCTGGTATAGGGATGCATAGAGATCATGTAATTCTCTTTCCCATAAAAATATTAAACATTTTTGAAGGATACCTGAACTCTGAATCTTACAATATTTGTCTATGCAGCTTGTGAGTTTGGGTCCTGGGGCCACGGCTGCCTCGCTAAATGCCAGTGTGGAGACTCTAAGTCTTTGGGCTGTGATCCGGAGAGCGGTCAGTGTCTGTGTGAGGATGGCTTCACAGGACATCACTGCCAACACAGTGAGTCCATGCATTTTAGCATTTTAGTTTCCAGTTGTCTTCACTTTGCTATTAAGTTGTAATTTCTCTTTAATCTTCCAGAGTGCGTAAACGGCACGTACGGCCCCGGCTGTGCTCATCGGTGTCAGTGTCAGAATGCGGCTCTGTGTGACCACGTGGGCGGGGCTTGTACCTGCGCTCCTGGATACACCGGGACCAACTGTGAGAAAAGTGAGTTTTGTTTTTCCCTACAGATAATATGGCATTTCCACAGCATTTTAGTCATGACCAAAAACACCCTGCAATATTCATAATGTGTAACTTTAATTCTGGGCCAAAGACGTGATAGATGGATTTAACAGGCGAGGCTTAAATGCATTGAAAGACCTCAGACTGTTCCATTCGACCTTTTGAGATTATGTGTTCTATAATAAATCATTATTATGACCAATAATAGTCTATTTGAGAACTGTCGCCTGCTAAGGATGACTGCTTTTTCCACAAATACTTAGGGCTGTCAGAATACTTACCCCCACATTATTATTATTGTGGATTTTTAATATACCAGTGACTAGATTAGATTCAGGCCAACAGCTTGCTCAAACACACAATCTATTATCAATCAAAATATCAGCAAAGTTGCAAAAATATTAGCAGTTTTTGGGCCAGATAGGTGACCAAAGATATAGCATACTTGAATATGAAACCAACTAGTTTTTTATTATTTGGTAAATCTACATATTTTGGAATGTTGGGGATTCTTTATTTTGTGATGTAATATTTTATCATTTAATCTTTTAATGTTGTTTTACGTCTGTATTTGTCTGTGCACACTGGAGACTTTTTGCTAATGTATTCCAATGTGGTTTTTTTATTGCAAATGGCAAATAAACTGAATCTGAATCTGAATCTCATGTGAGCCTATAAATATAAAGAATATTAAAACAGACATAAAAATGTGAAAATGGCTATGCTGCAGGTTGAAAAGTAACATTTTGAAAAATCTATAGTGACTGGAAAGTACTGCAAGTTGCGAACTAGTATAAAAGAGAACACTAGAGGGCAGTATAGGCCTGGAAACCGAATGGAGTTTTTGTTTCTTTACTCTCTACTATTCAGTTCAATGCTGTCCACCCAGCGGCTACACCACCTCTGCTGCTGTGACCTAAAGTGTTGTTGCATTTTAATACTATTGTTTGCTAATTTTAGAGTTAGCAATTTTTTGTTTTGTTTGTATGGATGGTGTTTCTGCTGCTACTGGACACTTGAATTTCTCTTACGGGGATCAATAATGTATCTATATATCTATCTGTCTATCTTATCTGCACATGTAAAGTATAGATAAATAAATAAATAAAATACAATCATTTCAAAAGCAGGGCTACCTAAGTTTTAAACCCCCAAAAAATGTAACTATGTATTAAAAATATACGGTTTGGTACTAGTTTTCATATGCATGCATTTATTTGGCCGCTGTCCTATCTTTAGCGTATTCAGACCAAAAAGTGAAAAAGCTCTTAACCCAAAATGTCAAATTGTGAATCACAGGGCTCTTTGTTGCAAGTAAGACGAATATTTCTAACAAGATGAAGAGAGTATGTGGTCTGATTTGGCATTTTACTTTTACATACATACTCTTGTTGTTGGGATGATCAACATGTATTATTTGAGAGAAAAAGGAAAGTTGTGTACCCCAGCTTTAATGCAGAACAAACAAAGATCTTAAAATTTCATCTATACTATTTCACAGACAAATCCGGACATCGTGTCATTACAAAGTTATTTCTTTTGGATTTGTTGGGCATATACCATCAGTCCAAGTGTCTCAACAACGTAATGAATCCTGCTTTGATTATAGTCTGTTAGTTGAAGTGATCTGTTGTTATTGCAATGTCTAAGATTTACAGTAGTTTGCCAGGCGTCATAAATCACTCTATAGACGCGAGCGCTCCATCCCATAGCCATAACAGTCTCTCTGAAAGCAGGCTATCACTCCTGCCCCAATCCCGGTTCTTTCCCCTAAAACAGACATCTCCAGTTTCTCTCCATCATCTGCTGGGCCTCTTCCTCGAGGAAAAGTCAGGAAGCGGGCCGCTCTGTGAGAAGGACCAGAACTGCTCACTTCATAACCGAAAGTCAAAGCAAAGGGCCTAAAGATGGAAATGTTGGAAAACTATGAACCATGAATTTGTTACATGTGAAGTTTGCAAAAAAAAATGGTGCCATAAAGTGGCTATAGTGAATGACAAACCCAGTTTTCAACATCTACTAACTACTACATGCATGTAGTAGTTAGCATCCTGCTTGCTAATGTATTCCAATGTGTTTTTTTACTGCAAATGGCAAATAAATAAACTGAAACTGGTTAGAGATGACCATGAAGACTTTGCTCATGTTAATACCCTAATAAAGAAATAGAATAATAATATTTTGAAAAGATGAGAGTATATTGCAGGAATCTGAAACCCATAAATATGTGATGTTTTGTTTTGTACTGACTTTCAGACCTGAATTTTATGTATGAGTTTCAGAAAGATGAGAGCTTTGGTGAGTTAAAGACCTTATGCCGGGTTTAAAAAAAAAAAATTGTGGATATCAAAATTGCATGACAATGTCAATCTGAAAGAGATTCCGGCAAAAAAAATCCTATATTTTATAAAAAGAACGTGTTTTTCATGAATTTAAGTTGTCTATGCTCTAACCTGTGTGTGACGTCATAGCGGGTTACGCCCATGCATTGAAAACCATGGATCTTTGCCACAGGACTGCCTTTTCTCTCTTCTCTCCACTGATGCCCAACACAATACTGCCCTCTACAGGTGACAATTGCTCACTACACATAAATTGCCGTTTGAGAGTGAAAATGTGTCTGAGGTGGGATTTGAACCCAAGTATCTGGATTGACAGTCCATCGACACAACCTCTGGACTATCTCAGTGCCAACGAGGAGTTACAATCTAGTATTCATCTCATACTCGCTGTACACGACCTTGTCATCTTGAATATCCGCGAAAAAAGAACGAATACCAAATTGTAAACAACTTACAGCGTTGAAACGTACCCACTCTGACGTCACCAAGGGCTGTAAAGTTTTTTCGTTTCTAAGGGCGTTGCTATGGGGTTATTTCGATTTGGGGGGATCAGACAAAAAAACAACAACTGATTTTGAAACCTTTAGTAGTTCTCTTCTAATATAAAATGGTATTAAAACTGTATTTCTAAATAAATCAAACCCGTCATAAGGTCTTTAAGGTGCTCTTCAGGATCAGCAGTGGCAAAGCACTGGTATATTATAAATACAAATCATTTAATGAGCTGGGACATCTTTAGGGCATGTAACTTCCTGAAGAAGGCCCTAAAGTAGGCCTGCATCACATGTACAGTAGTTAAATCTTGTATTTGAATATACGTATCTATCTAAGTTGTTTGGTTACGTTATTTTCACTTCTTTGCATGTAGAATAAAATATCATATTCTAATTGGCCACTTTATAACCACACCTCTTTAAATTTGAAAACAAGTTTGTCCTCGTCCCGTTGAAAGTTTGATGTCTCGATGAGGAAATGTAAAAGCTGAATACTACTATTGTTGCCACTTTGTGAGAAGTATTCAGCAGTATTCCCCACACAGCCCTTACAAAGCCTTAGTCACTCTGCTCTCACTTTGAAGAAGGCATCAAAACGCCTGCTTGTTCAAGGCTGAAAAGGAGAAACCGCGTTCCGATTGGCACTGGACTTCCGCATTATTGATGGTGAGCCGTTGTGTTCCTTCCTCTTCATAGACTTGGGTCCAGGAGCTTGTGTTGGAGGTGGTGTGTCTGTCCGCCCTGCTCTTGCTCCCTGGTGCCTGGCTGTGTGGTCCCTCTGCCTGCTTTATGGGCTGACAGCAGTGGCTCTTACACAGGCAGGGATCTGGAAATAATCCTGCTGTCTTAAAGCACTCATTTAGAGGAGGGATGGGGTCTCTCTGCAATGGCACAGCGTGTGTGGTGCTGCCGGCCCACATTCCCCGTGCCTACCTATAAACAAAGATGAGTCTGGGGTTTAAACACAGACAGACTGAGTGGCATTATTACTGACAGATTTATTGCTTTACTGTAATGAAAAGGGATGAGCTCCCCCTGCTGGCATCAATACCTACTGTACTTCACACAGTTTACATAAATGTTTGCACTTGGCCTCATCACATAATGTAGCTTGTGATAATTCTTTGTATTGAAACTTTGTTCTTTATTTTGATATTTTTATTACTGTGAGTGGGATTGCATGGTCACAGACCTGACTCGTACTTGTCCTGGAAATGGGCCTTCTCCTGCACCTACAATCTTCCACGATATTGCGTAAAACTTGATTCACTGATAGGAAAATTATTCGCCATTTGTTTTCAACCCTTTAAGCGTCAGAGCTCTTTTAAGGAATTGGATGTGAAACAGATAAAACGTGGAGCCCTGACAGAGATAGAGGACACCTAAAATAGAAAATATACAAAAGAAGAACATTTCTCGTGGCAAGCCAGGTTGTTGGTTGTGTAGAAAGTCGTGGATTCATCATTGAACCAAATGTTATCCCTGTGCTTTAATTTGGGATTATTTTCTAGCTTTTTTGTTGTAGTAAAGTAAATATTAAAAAAAGTTTTAAATTGGTTTAATTGCATTTATCTGGCCTAAAAGGGCTCCTAATGGATACAGATACTGATATTGAATCATAGTCAGTAAAAGAGCCTAGTAACAAGGGTAAAATGATTATAACCAATATTAGTTAATTATGGATTGCAAATCGTATGTGTATGTGTAATATCATATTTACACAACAGCAACGTACATACAATGTTCAAAATCTTTGCACATGCCCGTACAAAGTGCTTGTGCAGACGGAAATTGTGTTTATTTATTGTTTATTCCAATGCTGCCTTTCTGCTCCTGTATTAGCCTTAACGAATACACATATACACGGTGTGTTAATGATTCTATTTTTGATTCTTATTTCTCAAGCCTGAGATAAACAAGTCTAAACCCCCCAATTGTTCCAACACAACAGCGAAACCATCTTGTTGCCATGGCGTTTAGCAAATGCTTTAAAATCAACACCAGACAGTGAAGCACCGCAGAGTACAGCTGCATAATGACTTTAGCCTGACTGGGCCAACTTTAATAACAATGCAGTTTAACCACTAAAGAAGCAGGCAAAGAGCTGCCTGCTGTCAGCGTGGGAACACAGGGATGACCTGGACCCAAAGTGCTGATCTGGATGGGACTGCGGAGGCCTGTGTGACCACACAAGGGGGTGGGTGAGGGGTCAGGGCTCAGATCCACCTTGTTCCTCTTACAAACTCCATGGAACATCACCAGTTTAAATTTGAATGATTTTTTTGGAGTGATTTAGCAAATTCTTTTATAGACTGAAAGGAGAAGCAGGTCTCTCACAGAACCAATCAACCCGAAGTGACATATTGTGACTAACGCAGCTTTCTTTTGGGGATAGATTAAGCAAATAACACATGGTTTGCCTCAACAGAAAGAGGGAAACTAAGGTCAAGGTAAAAGTTTGTGCCCAAATAAGAGCACTACATGCGACAACAAGAATGTCCTAATTTGCATACATGTAAGAAAGAGCCATGTAAGTCATTATTTGACTCTTTTGGAATATTTATCACTTATATAACACTTTTCATGACACCCAAAGACACTTGACATGCCATTATTCATTAACTCCATACATTGTGGTTCAGCAGGAAGTGAGGCAACTAATGTGTGCCGTCAGCCCCTCCGACCACCACCATCATTCACTCACACCAGACTCATACTAGACCATGTGGGCGAAGGACACAGCAGCAGTTTGCCACTTTACAGCCACAGCCGGTACCTGTGGTCTCCCATCACTGTACTAACCAGGCCTTGCTCTGCTTAGCTTATGAGGTCTAACAGGATTTCACATGCAGATGATGCCACAAGAGCTGACAGCTGATTGGCTAGGTGAAGATGGTTCTCTCTTTTTCTCTTTTCGGGCTCAAAAAACATGTGACAGAGGCCAAAAAAGCATGCAGGTGAAAACTTGTGATGGAACTGAACTGTTTTGAGAGTGAGGGACGAATTACATAAATGTTATTACATGGTTTGAAAGTTAAGCTTTAAGTAATGGATTACTTTAATATCGAAATAGCAATTAGCGAGGTCACAATAATCAAATTGAAGTCCTTTGCAAAGAACATGATTTCCTAATTTATTATGTACAAAACCTATGAGCCATGTATTTCAGAGCTGTAATGTAGTTTGTCCAATCAGATCAGTAGAACATTAGTTAGAAGTTGTTGTTTTCTCAAGTATTTTTTACCTTGGATTTGTTTAAAATGTGCACTTGGAAAAATGTCTTTTAAAAAACTCGCAAGTAAATGTATTTGACGTACTGCCACCTTTGCGCGTCCCAGGGTAAAATAAGTACTCTGCATCATCATTTGAAGTTACAAGCAGGAGAACTGTGGCTTTCTCAAAAACATCCAACCACCAAGTTACACATCGCCCTTACGCTTCAATTTGTGGCTTCCTTTGGTATCATGGTCCACTGATTTACTCATAAAACAAAGACGTAGTGGATAAATGCAACGCCGAGATAATTAGGAGAGCGCTTTTTATTATGCAGATGTGGGCCTCCTCCCAGAACAGCTGAATGGCTATGTACTTTTGAATATTATTTTGGACTCGGGGCACATGCTAATCATTCAAGACATCTGGCAGAGGAATGGCGTCATCACGTACATGTGGGATCTACCCTCGTCGACTGTCCGGTGACAAATTGAGCCATCAGAAATAGGCACTGACTAAACACAGCGGTTCTTGCGTGGCGTGGTGAAGTCATGCATACAGACAATATTTACAGTCCACTTATGGAAAGAGCTCATTCATCTCGTGGGCTCTGGCTTAGTTCATGTGGACTGGGGGTATTCTATGTTTTCAAAGTGTGCACCAGTGTCGATGCACACAGTGTACTCTACCTTGGTTTGGAGTAATGCAGGGGGCAGGTAACAGAGCTCTGTGTACAGCCATAGTGATTGAGCAGTGAATGAATCAGAGAGCACTGTCAAATGTTGTGTGAACCTGAATGGTGCCATAAACACTGCATATGTACCAGTTAGCAAGAGTTTGTATGTCCATGGAGCCTATAGAGCAGAGCGTAAGAGTTTGGCCTTCTGTGAAAGCAGAACACCTCCAGAAAAGTTTAGATTAGAACAAGACATTATTGTGTTCAGTACAGTTCAGTGGAGTCTTTCAGTCCCCTGGATTATCTATGGATATTATGTTCCATTTGCTTCCAAAAGCGCCTATGGATACAGGTTATTGCCCAGTTAGTACAAAGAATGTGCACATTGTTTACAATTTACAATTCTTTGAACATTTTACATTTCTATAATGATAATAGGGTTAGGGTTACAAATCATCTGCCAATCAGTTATTGACCAAAAAAAATGCATATTAGCAGCCCTTCTGTTATATTGGAAATGTTGGATAATCTAGAACCCCAATCCTTTCTTTTAACGCTCACTATTTAACATATGCACTCCTTTGTGTGATATTATATTTATATATAAGTTTACACATTTATTGTAAAGTTCAACTGCCAACGCAAACTAAATACCAATATGGCAGCACACAAAAGAACAGCCAGAATAAAGTGGTTGGATGAATATGCCGACGGGAAGAGAAGACTATTATAACATGTTTAAGTAGATTGTTTTATAATCACTATCATCACTTTCCATTTGTTCTTCATTTTCCCCCCTCCTTATCTAACACTGCGCAGCCCCGCGGTGCTTAAGTGCATCTTTCGGGAGGGCCAAATAACCTGGCTTTGTTTCGGCATTTACAAGTGCGGCCTGTGGACTCAGCAGGTGCTCTAATTACCCACTCTTTGTTGCAACCTCTACCCCACAACCCCACAGCCCGCCATGCTCTCTGCAGCGTTTGAAGTGGCCCCAGATCCTCCGCACATGTGGGACCGCGGCGCGCTTGCCCTAACGAACGCAGACACGCTTTTCACGATGTCGTAATGCAATCTGACACGGTATTTTTGGCCAGGGCGGTATAGACACAGGCGAGCAAAAGGCCTGAGGATTAGAAGATAGTGTGTTTTTGGTGTCCTGTGCTTGCTGCCAGTTGTGACCATACTCTTGTTTTATCTCCGCCCGCAGTGTGCCCGAACGGCTTTTACGGTCTCCAGTGTGGCCAGATGTGCGAGTGCAGGAACGGTGCCCGCTGCCACCACATCACAGGAGCCTGCCTATGCGCCACCGGCTGGGCAGGACCGCTCTGCACTCTAGGTAATATAATCGCCTTCATTAAAAAAGGGTGTGAGGGAGATCTTTTTAGTAGCCCATCATGACATCTCCTGGAATACGCCCATGATGTGTTTGCGAACGTTTTTCTCGGTAATCAAAGATGGGTAAAGTGCGGGCAGAGTTAAAACAATGCCTTCAGGCGCAGTCGGTTTAATTGAGTTTTGTTAAATGCACCCACGTGTTTGCCGTCATCAACATTAACAACGGAGAAAGCTTTTAGCAGCTCACCAGCAATGAGCGTTTCCCATGCTCGACTTTTCTTGAGAATTTCATGCCGTTGTTTTAATGAATCCAATGAAATGCCCACTAAAACGTCTCGCTCTGTCATTCTGCAAACGTATTCAGAGCTCTCCTCTTGCCACAGATATGTTGCGGTCCTAAACTCCCAAAGCCGAACTCGGCGAAAAGCCACCAGCGTGACTTAACGATGCATCTCTGTCATTAGTGTTTTTTCCCCATTTTTTTGAGGCAAATGTCAGATGGGTTCATTAGGAAAAGTTTACTAAGTTTTCCCATATCCCAAAATAAAGCCATCTCTTTTAACTTGAAGGCTTTGCTAAATTTGAACGCCCGTGTGTGTGTGTGTGATGGTGTGTGTTTGTGTGTGTGTTTGGTAGTCTGTCCAGAGGGTCGTTTTGGGGAGCAGTGCAATCAAACCTGCGTATGTCAGAATGAAGCCAAGTGCAACCACGTCAGCGGCCTGTGCAGATGTGCGCCTGGGTGGACCGGAATCAGCTGCGAAAAGCGTGAGTAGATCATCACTTAGCCTTCTCAAATCATTAATTCAAGCAAGGGATTTGTAAACAGACAGAGAATGGGTTGAATAGTTATGAGAGGCTATGTATTGGTGGACTGCTTACATTATGGAAGGCCAAAGTGTAAGAGATTAATAGAGAGGTCTTGTGTTTGGTTTCAGTTGCTTGGTTTCATTGTACAGCTGATTTTTGACAGATACCATTCATGTTTAACACTCAAAAACCCTTAAATACATTGAGGTATTGAGGAGGCAGTTATAATGACAAGGAATTGGTTTATGGCACTAACCTTTGGCAAAGACAAAGGACACAAAATATGCAACTATCCATCCATCCATCCATTTTCTTCCCCTTAAGCCATTTCTGGGTCGGGGGGGGTGACAGTCAGAGCTGCACCCAGTACACAGAGCACCAGCCCCTCACTGATCCTCCTGCAGGTGGTGAATCCACAGGAGCTGAGATCTTTCAGTTGGGGCTTTGGGCAAAGTAGGGTTAAGTGTCCTGCCCAAGGACAACGCAATGCAATGCAACTAGCATTATAATATTAATACACTGATTTCATGCAGATGCCCCACATGTCATAATTCTTTTACTCCATACACAGTGGTGATAAACTACTACTGTAACCACAGCTGCCCTGAGGCACACTGACGGAAGTGAGGCAACCAGTATGTGCCATCTGTCACTCCGACCTTCCACCGGTCATTCACACACACACTTCAGACTCATTCTAGGCAATGTGGGTGAAGTGTCAGAACAACAACTTTACAGCCACAAGCTCCCAGAGGTCTCCCATCACAGTACTAACCAGGCCCTAACCAGGTCCTTCCGATGGCATCTAGCTTCCGCGTGCAATTGTGGGCTTATATTTTCATTGTGTTTTCACTCTGCAGATCCATGTTTTTTGACCCTTGTTGAAATGCCGGGAAAGCTTGGCAGGTCTTTTGCGCCCATGTCAGATTTTCATCATGCAGAGGACAGAAACGTTTTTAAAAGAAAGTATTTTAAAGTCACAGCACAGTGTACAACAGTCCAGAGGGAATTACAGTACATTAAAAATTGTCTTTGGCAAGTTCGCAGTAAAATCACAATAACATTAAAGGTGGCAAGAACAAGAGAGAATGTCACAAAGTTAATAATAATTTAGTTATCCTGTTGCTGTCATTTTGCTAAATATTGTTCCTTGTGTGATTTGTGCGTGGTTCTATAACCTTTTCTAACTTATTTGTCATCTGTTCCACATGTAAGCAACAGGCTATATAACAGTTTGTTTTTTATTTCAGCCTAAACTAGTGGGAATTGTCTTGTTGATTGGAAACCGTATTCTGATTTACCTAAAATTGAACGTAAGCAAAACTATTGTGTGTCTTGCATACCAACTCGTGCTTCTGTGGCCACAAATGACCACATTTCTCCAATATTGTCTCCAGTGCAATGCGATACATGCAATCAGTTTCATGTTTCTTTTCTTTCTCTTTTCTTTGCTTTAACTAAATCTTCCTGTTTGGTATAGGCTGTCCACCGGGGCTCTTTGGGGACCACTGCTCTGGCCAGTGTCTTTGTCAGAACGGGGGCTCCTGTGACTCAGTGAGCGGCCTCTGTTCCTGCCCGCCCGGATCGACTGGGGCGGCCTGTGAGTTAGGTCCGTCACTCACAGTTTTTGAATTCAATGCTTTAATTTTAGTATATTTAATGATTTCAAATGCATTTCTGATCTCTTGTAGCGTGTGAGGAGGGGTACTTTGGGTCGAACTGTTCCCAGACCTGTAGATGTGCAAACAGGGGGAAGTGTGACCGCGTGACCGGAGCGTGTGCCTGTTCTCCCGGATGGACTGGAGATCTTTGCCAAACAGGTGAACATGGAAGAGCTTGTAGATGGAAGAATGTAGGCAAGAAAACCTTAAACAGTAAAATCGCAGTTAAGAATCGAACAATTCATGCAAAAAACTATTACAAATATTTACAGAACTAGACACAATATAACCTTGATTCAGCCAGAGGTCTCACGGTTTCAAGACAAAAAAAGATACATAAAAAAGGTAATGTGCTCTATAAGTCACAGGATTCTCAGTGGGTGGCATTATGGACACAATTTTGCCCTTAATGCAAAAAAAAAAAAAAACATCCAAATCCAAAAATAACATTAAAATCCCCCGAACATTTGATGAAAACCTGATATGCTCGAAATAAAACGTCTGGCTCCATTTGGGAGATATCTTGAAAATGGTTTCTGAATTATTTCCAGATTGTTTTCATCTATTTCCTTGATTCCAGAGTCTGTTTTCATCTATTTCCTTGATTCCAGAGTCTGTCTTTATCATAATGTTTACCTTGTGAAAATATGCAGTATCTTAAATGACTGTAATTGTCATTTAAGATACTGCATATTAATTGTCAATTGTATGTACCGCTCTATCAGCTGTTGTTTATGTTCATGCGAGAGAGCAGAGGAAATGCAGGGAATCTGTTTTCATTGTGCTCTAGGACGCAAAAGAAATTGCTCCTGACATGGACGATAACAGTTAACATTTGCCGCCTGAGACATTACTGTGGTATTTAACTTTAACTTTATCCATAACAGGTCAACAAGTGTGTTAAAACACTGTGTCATCATTAAATCATGTTGTGTCCAGTTACAACATTTGTTGATCGGCTTCGTTTTGCTTCATCAGCTGTTGGTTAAGCTTTTCATTACAAAAGGAAAACCTGCTGTTTCTATACAGGTGTGCTTAATAGTCACATTTATATACACTAAAATCATTCCTCTTCTGGGACGTGGCTTGGCGTTGTATGCGTTTGGTAGGTCCTGACATCATTCCGGTTGAGATTCACTGCTCTATATACCTTTTGGCATATGATCATATTATATTTATACAAACAATTTAGAAGTTGGTATAATCCCTCAATCATCAAATACTGATATTTTGTAGAAAGTGCAATGTTGTCAATCTTGGAAAATAAATAGAAAATATGATGTGCTGTGTCCAGGGCTTGTACTAAGGGCTTGTATAGTAGAGATATTCTATATATCTATAATGCATATTCTCCCCAAAAATAGTCAACAAACTTGAATTATCTTGAGTGATATAATATGGAAACATTATACAACATACAAGTCCATTATCATGAGATTCTCTGCTGTCCAGGCTACACTAACTTTAGGAGACTGATTTTGAAAGTTTTGACCTTATTTTTTTTGACACATTCCTGTCTTCTTAACATGGGTCAAAACAGCACTCCAACCTTTGCCACTGTTGGCCCGGGTCAACAGCATTTCAACACTGGATGAAAAAACAGTGGTCAATCTATCAGTAACAAGTCAATGGGAGTTTCCATTGACGTCTCAAAACCACGTCCATTGTTTCGTCAGTTTTTGCTAATAAGAGTCTATTAACCCTCCATGTGTGTCTGCAATCCCCACTTTCACTCTCACAGGAAGCTCCGACATCCACACGGTACCTCTCGGTGTCGCGCTATACTCGGCCTCTACCGCGGTCTGTCCACAGCTCTTACCACCCCGCCCCTCTCTCCCTCGCCTCTCTCTTCACACACTCCCCAGACATCTGATAAACGTTACGCAGCGGCTGCCAACCAAAACACTAGGCATTGTTTTTGTCTCCTCCGCGGCGGATAAGGGCTTTTGCAAGGCAGACATGCATAATGACAGCCCCGTAATTACCTCTTTAGTCTGGGCCTTTTTCCCCCTTATCTGTTCCCTTATGCCGCAGCAGTTGTCGAGGTGTGGTGGTGGTCGAGTCCCCAGGCCCATGTTTCATCTCCTTCCCAGTGACTGATGGTCCGTGGGCTTCATTAGTTTTGGTGATGTACGTTTGGTAAACAGACAGACTGTGTGAAAGAATGCCCGAGCCGATGGGACCGTTGCAGAAGTCACCAGTCATTAGCGAAAGTATAACGGCGTGTTCACAGAGGCATCATGGGAGGACTGAAGAGGGATGTCGTACAAGTTTTTTCGCTCAGTTTGTTGTGATGTTTTAATGCAGGAAAACAAAGGAAAACTCAACTTTTAAGAGGTTTTAACCAGGTTTCTCTATTGTTTACACACTTTGCCTCCTTCCATGCCAGATACCATTGCTTTGGCCATCCTGGTTTTTACCAACAGAGACACACACACACTTCTATTTATTATTTTTACTGTATAATACATTTATTCTCACACAGGTTTTGCTATTTCTTTTAATTGTTTTTCATCAACATAGTGATTTAAATGTTAAAAGATATATAGTTATTTTTACATTTTAGACAGTAACATTATTTTGTTGAAATCTTGACCGGTGAAATGGATTTTCTAGGGATATTTCTAGGTTCAAACTATGTTGATGAAAAACACTGTGGTTTCTTCGAACAGTGTTTTATAAACCAGAACTTTTTTCATGAGGTAAAATGAAAAAAGAAAGCCACAAATGCAGGACTGAAATTAATGTGGCATTTCATGAAATAAAACCAAGTCCAGGGTAACAATAAAACAGAAAAATCCAGGACTAAAAACTATCCAGGAACAAATTTGGGAAAGACAATGGACGGACATCAAGTGGGGAAAAGCACTGGGTATGAATACACAGAGACACAGGTGAATCATACTCGGGCGGGGCAAACAATCAATGGGACAGGAAGGAGAACTAAAGGAAAGACAACAGATGAGTAACAAAAGAAATTAAAGTTCAAGTCTGCACAATGACAAAGCTATTATGTCTTTGGATGTTCAGGTGTGCTTTTGGAAATGATCCAATATCACCTCCTTGGTCAAAATAACGTGAATAGAAAATAATGTGAGAAGATGAGGAAGAGTTTTTGTGCTTGTTTGAATTTCTATAAAATGCACTTTGATGAGACTGACTTTCCATGGTTAATGAATCCTGCAGAGTTTCTGTTTTAGCTGGTGCTGCATTATGTGATTGTTTTCAATAAAAAGGTGTTCCACGGCTCAATAGAGTTGAGGAACTCAGATAGTAGAATAAAAACAAATAATATGTACCTCTTTCATTCTACAGTTGTGGGTAAACACAAGTAGCTAAGTATATTATCCCCCCAGTCCAAGGCCCATGCCTGGAGCTACTGTAAACTAAAATATACTGGACTAATTCAGAATGGACATATGGTTGTCGTTATGCTGCAGGTGGTGATGTCACTGGCCTTCACAAACTCACATCAAACTATAAACCATGCTGTCATTCATTGAGCAAGGACTTTTTTTGTCTTCTGTTACCCCTATTGTTTGTCTCACCCTCGTATACATCCCATAATAACACTCAGAATGCCGCGGACGCATGCGTGTGTAAGACGGGGACAGAGCAGGTAGACCCTCTGGGAATTCAAGTTTTGAAAGAATACACGCGTGACCGCGGGGCACTTGTTGTTTCCTGTATGAACTCTGCATAATGAGCTGCGGGCGCCACAGCGCTCTGGACAGCAGGTCCCACCTCCAGCGGCTGTGATCACGGCGAACGGTGCTGCGTAATGGGATCATATCCAAGACCACGCACAGAACTATTACAGAACTATTCTCTAGTGTGCGTACGTGTCTTTGCGTAACCGATGCACACCATATGTACAGCGCTGAAGCTGGACTGCGGAGCCTCAGTCTCCTCCGTGTCTTCTCCCAAAGCGCACTCGCTAAATTAAAGCTGAGGTACCTAATTTTCCTTTCGACTACCAGTTCATGTTAGCTGTGCCAAAAAAAGTAATGGTGTGAGAAAATCAAACAGATTTAATGACATTCTGCATTTCAGACTATTTTGAAATGTCCCTCATCTGTAACAAACAATGGTTTTGGTCTGAGTCTAAACAGAAAGACAGAATGTTAATAATGTTAATTCCATTTTATATGGATTTATTGTTATAACAAACAAATACAGTTCATATGTTCACTAAGCTGTCATTTATCTTTCCATTCAAACAACCATTTACAGAAAAATATGGCATAATTTTGGCAATAGTTTGAAATGCGATTAATTACGATTAATTAATTTTTAAGCTGTAATTAACTCGATTAAAAAAATTAATCGTTTGACAGCCCTAGTTTAAAATGTATATTGCTCTCTAAAAACCTAAAAAAATTGAAAAAAAATGCATTAAAAAACAGTTTTTAAATTGACCACAATATGGTTTTCAAAATTAGTCAAAGTTTGGTATTTTTTCAAGTTTAGCCAATTCAAAGTGCCATCAAAAACAAGACAAACAATTCAATTGCATAGGTTTAATGCTTGAAAATAATTTATTATAAAAGAAATAGGAACAGATACAATCCTTCCGCTGTAGCAGCTTAACAGAACAACTTTTAACCTGGACCTGAACATTGTCAAAGTAGAAGCGTGTCCCACATTTTCCGGAAGACATTATCTGCAAATATCTGAAATGCTTTCCCCCATGTTTAATATTAATGCATGGGTTTTTATAGACACTACAAAGATACTCCGTATGCTGAGCCCTGGGAACACTGAGAGAAGCATCGCAACCAATACGTGACATGAATTCCTCTGATCACCACCAACCATACACACAACACTCTGCAAGTGTCTTGCCCAAGGTCACAACCACAGTTTGGCACTTTACAACCTCAGCTGTGCCACTGTGGCACCTGGTGTTTTCAGAGGTCTCCCATCTCAGTACTAAACGGGCCCTGCTCTGCTTAATTTCTGAGATCTGACAGAATCAGGCCTTCACATGCAGTCCTGATAAAACTGTAAAACACTGCAATAATGGTTTCAATATTGTGATTTATTTTCCTACAGTATTAAAACTTGATAATTATCTCGTTTTTGTATTTCTGAGTTTTTGTTAAACTTTATTTCTTACTGTCATGCCCTTGTCCTCCTAGTTTGTCCCGACGGCACGTACGGCCAGAACTGCAGCCAGACCTGCACGTGCTCCGGCGCCCAAACCCTCTGCCACCCCGCCACGGGCAAGTGCAGCTGTCCACCTGGTTACCACGGCGCCCTCTGCAACCAACGTACGCATTACGCTTAATCTCCGTCCACTTCCCTCTCGCGCCGTTCTCCTCATCACCCTCTTTTCACGTCCCGTCTCCAGGATGTCGCCCTGGCGCTTTCGGACCAAACTGCAAATGGCGTTGCGGCTGTTTGAACGGTGGCCGCTGCGACTCCAGGAGCGGGCTTTGCCATTGTCCTCCCGGCTACACAGGAGCAATCTGCGGCTCAAGTAAAGTCGAGGGTGCACCTGTTGCCTCTCAATGCTCTTTGTCTGAACCTTTGGCTTTTATATCGAGGGCTGCTTTTGACGTGAGGTCTTTTAACTGTGGATGAAAGCTAATTCTTACAACATAGTGCACTCTTTTGGCTTGTTTTGTGATTTGTGCTGTGTGTTTGGACTGTGCGGTGAAGCTGTGTGTTGACTTGTTTAGGTTGCCCGAATGGCTATTATGGGAAGGACTGTGCGAAGCTGTGCTCTTGTGGAGAGGGAGGACAGTGTCATCCGGTAACAGGGAAGTGTGTGTGCGCGCCAGGTTGGATGGGTCCTTCCTGCCAACAAGGTAACGGCAAATCTACTGTAATATTTGTTAGAAGAATGTGTAGTTATCAGCTGTTTTTGTGACAGTGATGGACATTTATTATCATTTATGGCTCATATGTGTTTTTTTGTATTGCATTTCTGTGTTCAAACTATTTGATTCTCTGGCCTAATGTTGGTGAATCAACAACTTTGTAAAGTCCTACGAGACAATATCAACAAAGTCAACAAAATTATGTGAAAAAATATGTATCCACAGATGTAAATCCTTTAAATTCAGATAAAAAAAAATACATTTAGTCTGCTCTTGATAAAGCCGGGGGGGGGGGCTAACATTTGTGTCTAAAACGGGAAGGAAAATGGAGAATGGAACTATGTAATACAATCCATTGAACGAGTTCCTGGTTCCGTCACTAGTATTCACATGCATGTATTCTCAGCCTTTGTCACATGTTTAGATTGGCTTTTTCAGGCAGAAAAATTCATAAAGAGAGCTTACATCCCAAAGCGTCAAATAGCGTTTTCTAGTAAAATGAAGACAGCATGTTGTGGTCTTATTTGTTCGCAAAATGTTAACACAATACTCTATGTTAAGACAAGCCAAATGAGGTACCCCAGGTTTAATATGTAACCTGGTAGATATTTTGTGATTTTCATTTAAAGTTTTACATATAGTATTTTATCATATTTTTTTTATCTTAATATTAAACTGAAACTGTCTGTTTTGATGCTAAAAAATTACAAAGGGCACATAGGGACTTTCTCCATGTTTTCAAATCCTATTAATGAGTTCAAAATACAACGAAACGCCTTATCACATGTGGAATCTTTTCTCACATTTGACATAATGGCAGCTATCAATCGTACTAATCTCCAAATAAAAAACAATTTCCATAACAAGCCCAACAAACAAGGCGTACTTATGTCTATTAAGAAGCAACTGGTCCATTTCCTCTGTGTGAGTCCTCTGATGATCACAGCCTGTTTTTCCAGGGAAGCAGAGGCCAAGTGGGGTTGTCTAATCTCCTTTATCAGCGGGGCTTTCCATCCTGAAACCTTCTCGTTCACATACTTGGATGCACCACCTTTCAAAATCCCCATAATGAATGTTTGCACAAAGCTGTACATAAGTAGTCTGCGCTGCGTTCCATGCGGCTGGATTTGGCTAAGACGCAAACAAGCAAGCATGAAAATCAAAGACATCTTGCGTTTTCTTTTCCCAGTTCTAATTAGCCATAGAAGCATGATTGTTCTTTTATATCTGCGCCAAAAGCATCTCTTAGTGAAGTGTAGCTTAAGCAAACATGTCGAGGTTAAATTGAATAGTTTTAGTGTGGACTGTCTGCGTTTGCTGTGATTGTAATTGTGCTATTTCTGATGCTCTCTCTGTTGTTTGCACAGCGTGTCCGAGGGGCCGGTACGGACCCCAGTGCAGGAACGTGTGCAGCTGTAAGACCGGGGCCCAGTGTGATCCCGTCCACGGCTCCTGTACCTGTGGCCTGGGACGTATGGGCTCACAGTGTCAAACAGGTGAGGAAGAGGAGAAATGAATATACATGAACAGGTGATGTCCACAACTTCAATTGTATCTATATTTTTTTTACACATTTTTGACCATTTCACCCTGTAGTATTTTTTCATAAATAATATATTAAAAGCAGTCCCTCCCCTTGCCATAACCACCACAAGTGATAATTACTGGAGGAGAATAAGAATTAAAGATTTGTAGTTAATTGCATCCAATCAGAAATCTGGTGGGGAGTGGGTCTTGCACTTGCGTTATATTATCAAATCAACAGTTTAGAAAATCAAACAGTTCAAACAAGAAATACTTTAACAACAAACACATAGGATCATGACTGTCCTTAGACCGTCCTGTGTCAACAGGGAACAACTAAAAATTGCCAATTGGGGCGGCCCGGTGGCTGAGTGGATTGCACTCTTGCTTCTCAGCAAGACGGTCCTGGGTTCGAATCCCGGTTGGAGTGGGGTTTGCACGTTCTCCCCGTGCCTGCGTAGGTTTCCTCCGGGTGCTCCGGTTTCCCCTACCACTAAAAACATGCACACTTGGTTAAATCCTCCAGCTGCGGTCCTGACCAAGCCGAGCATCAACATCTGGAGATGGGTTCCCGGGTGCTGTTACTACGACGACCACTGCTCTGACGGCATCAGGATTGGTTAAATGCAGAGGATGAATTAATTATTAAAGTGCACCTTTACCTTTACCAATGTTGTCAAATTTAAGAGAATTTTAAAGAATCTAAAATACTGCATAATCAATCATTAAAATTATAAATAAATAATCAGATGTAAAATATTAGTGATAAACAAACTTTCCATAAAGAAAGTAGGAGACCTTGTTATAACAGTAAAGATTAATAGCATTAATGAGTTAGACCCTTGGGTAGGTGAAAGCTCGTACCCCCCTCAACATCAGGGGGTGCTTGTGCCCTCTCTCTAAAAGTCACTATTTGAGGATGACGATGAGTGAGAATGGTACACTCATTCTGTCTCATAAAATCGTATCTAAAGATGTAGCAGAGGTGAAAAACTAGAAACACTGATCAAACCAAACTGTTATGAGAGCAAGGAACAACTCCATCTGTTGTTTAATATATTAAACAGTCATACAAGTTTTAGTGACCTAAAAGTTGGATACCCCAGCTTAAAGAACAACATCTTGATTTAAAGTCATTTTAAATCTGGATATGTTTTTTGCTGTGAGGGATTAATTACCTGATCAAAGACATACAGACATAATATTCTACTATGCCTGATGACACTAATTTTGTATTTTGTCAATCGTAGCATGTCAAAAATCCTTTTGTCTATTTGCATCTATCCTAGGCGCCGTTGTATATTAAAGAAAAAAGAAATTCCGCACCATTTTGCAAGTACTGCTTTAGAATCCACCATTCACACGAGCAATAAACTTACCACAACTCGAAAGTATCTCTAATGAAAGTGCTTGTAAAGTTCTTGACGTTGGCCTCGAAAACGTCCACAAAGTTTAGTTTACATAAAGTTAGGAAAACATTTCTTTCCCCCTCTGCCTGAACAATATCATACACCGAAATCAGATGTCCTTTCATTGAGCTTTACATGCGTTCAATCCAATCATTAGCAGTTTATGATGCTATCTTTAAAAAGTCGCATTTGACATATGCCTTTTACTGCTGACAGATGCAATCAAGTAACATTCGATGACTTTCTTTGTAGCGGTTTTGGTCAAAGCGTCTCCACATGGACCATATGCCCAATAAATTCTCAACATTGCTACTAAGCCATGTTGGAACCACTGCTTTAAAGTTGTGTTTGTGTGTGTGTGTTTGTGTGTGTGTGTGTGTGTGTGTGTGTGTGTGTTCGCAGCCTGTCCAATGGGGAAGTACGGTCCAGGCTGTGCTCACGACTGTCAGTGTCTTCATAACGCGACATGCCACTCTGTCACTGGTGTCTGCAAGTGTTCTGTGGGTTACTACGGCCACTCCTGTCAGAACAGTAAGCCCAAACCAGATTTTAATGTTTGAAAAGATGTTTGAAAAGCTTACAATTTGCCCTTTACCGAGCAGGTTTTGAAAAGTCAGATATATTCTAATATTCTTTAATGGTTTCCTCAACCATTTGATGCTTTTGAGTGACTTTTTCTTCTTGAAGCTTTGAACTGAAATCCCCCTCGTTGGCCCATTTTCCTTGGTTTGAGGCACTTTTACCATAATTCTGCATCTCCACCGTTTGGTAAAGGCATACAATTGAAAGAAAAGAAAACTTAAAAATAAATTATTTCTATTATACAGTAAAGTGTCCTACATCTTAGAGAATCCCAAAGAAGAAGGAACATTGAAGGTTACAGGTTTAATGCGACAGTGGCTCAGTTGATAGAGCATTTTATCCACTGACTCCCACCGATGTCTGTTGTCGTTGTGTCCTGGGGCAAGACACTTACCCCCACTTTGCCCGAAGCCCCTGCTGAAAGATCAAGGCAGCTCAGACTAGAACAGCCATCCTCCTGAGGACTCACCAGCGGCAGGAGGAACAGTGAGGGACTGGTGCTCTCTGAATTGGGTGTGGTTCTGACTGATACATTTTAATACAAAAAAAGTTTCACCCCTTCTTGAGCAAATCCTATCAAGTTTACAGCCAATAACAAAACATGCGAAAGATTGACAATTGACATTCATAAGAACCAATAAACGGCTACGAAAACCTGCAAACCACACCTCTCCGACGAGAAAATGTGCGTCTTCACATTTATATAATCATGTCAATTCAACCGGATAAATGTTAAGGTCAGTCGCTCTGTGATGTTAAATCCATAGATTGAGTTCATGTTCTAGACTTATGTTTCAGTTGGGTTCTCTATGGGAATTATGCATTTGTTGAAAGAAAAATGAAATTTCCATGTGTTTTGGCAGATCATGATTTGATAGTGATTAGATATGAGATGATAGAGCTTCCTTCTGGCCCTTCATCAATATTGTCACCACTTCTAGATATGTTTATGGGAAAATAATGAAACCATCATTTAAATGTGCTGACAAAGAAGATGTGAAACAGTAAGAATAACTGTTAAATAACCAGCAAAGATGTTCACTCTCTACCATAACTTTAAACAATAGGCTCTTAAGAATATTTTGAGGTCATATGAACTATTATTACCATTAAACAAATGACTATTTTGATGTTGCGGTTGTCAGGTTGTCCAGCAGGGTTCTTTGGAGAAGACTGTGCCCAGACCTGTGACTGCAGAATGGGACAAACATGTGATCACCAGACTGGACAGTGTGTATGTCCACCGGGAAGCTACGGCCTGCTGTGTCAGAGAAGTGAGTACAATACAACACATGATGCTTGGTCAGTTGACTTTTTACCAGCATTTCTTTGTGAATATTATAAGGCACACTGCAATTCACTAGTCAATGTATCAGTCACTTTACCTGTCACTTTATTTAATTATGATTATTCTTGTATAGCCCTAAATAACAACAGTAGTTATTTCGGGGGACTTTACTTAAAGCTGCACTAACTGACTTTGGGATTTTGAAGCCGCAGACTCGCTGGCCTCGCTCTTTCTGCTCCCCTCCCCGCACCCACGAAGCTATCGCCCCCCCACACACACCCACTGTTGGGACGGAGCTATCCATCCATCCATCCATTTTCTACCCTTTAATCCATTTCTGGGTCAGGGGAGTCTCATAGCACCAGCCTCTCACTGACCCTCTGCAGGTGGTGAGTCCACAGGAGGACGGCTGCTCTCTGAGTGTGAGCATAGCCTCGATCTTTCAGTGGGGGCTTTGGGCAAAGTGGGGTTAAGTGTCTTGCCCAAGGACACAACGACAGCAGTCATCAGTGGGAGTTGGTGGAGAAGGTGCAGAGGTGGGAAATGAACCCACGACCTTCTGGCCTTACTGCCAATGCTCTACCAACTGAGCTACTGTCGCCCGGGACTGAGCTAGCGTCTCCCAATATGGATAATACATGGATATGGATTTGCACGTGGATGGCGTGACCATAGAACAATAGAACCGGGAAGCGCGGAGGAACGGGACTTTCTTTTGGATGGCTGTCTCGCTGTGTAAGCAGTAACCGGTGACGAAGACGAGGAAGTTTCAGGTTAGCTCCTCGGCTTGTTGTGCTAACTCAGCTGTCTATGCTAACGGACCTGTAGATTGCTCACGAAAGTGGAGGCTGGTGGTCCGCTGTGATTGGTCACAATCTGCGACACGAAACACATTCTCTTCCTTCTTTCATCAAAACTTGATCTAAAATATAATGTCACGCCAGCACAACCCTGCGCTACTTTTTCTTCAAAAGGACGTATATCCCAATGCACTGCATGGACATGGATAGCATTTCCGTAATGAATACAAAAATAAAGTCAGTTAGTGTAGCTTTAAACATTGAAATTGCCAACACAGGTCAGAGTAAAACAGAAAACACATTGGTATTGTCCATGAGGGCCAGATGACCAATGTCCACAAGTGTTTTATTGGTCACTTTACCCGCTATCATTATTACATTTTCCATTTGTCTGTTCTGATAATTCACTGGTCTCTACCTGCTGCTACTGTTATTCATCCTGGTCATATTCTCTCCTGCTGAAGTACAAAACCATCTATAAATGTGAAACTTGTTGACTGCTGCTGACTACAGTGTATACTCCACAAGTGACATCTTTGATCCAAGTGTAATTAAAGCTCCAGAGTTTATTATTTTATTATCTATTGTCTTAAATAATAGGCCTGATGGCTCTTATTTATCCTTCTATTCTGCTGTAATGTCAATGATGCTGAAATTTCCCCACTGATGTACCAATAAAGGTAATCTTGTCTTAATTTGGAGCTCAATTCAATTCATCTTTAGTTCAGTAAGTAGTAAGTAATATTTATTTATACAGCGCCTTTCACTGACCACATTAACAAAGCACTTTACAATTGTTGTGGGAATTTTTCTCTGGGAGCAGGTTTGCCTTACAGAAAGTGCATGCCAGACTTATTGTAAATGTTTTAGTGGTAGGGGAAACCGGAGCACCTGGAGGAAACCTATGCAGACACGGGGATAACATGAAAACTGGAGGTGGAATCGAGTCCAGGACCTTCTTGCTGTGAGGCATAAGCGCTAACCACTGCATCACCGTGCCACCCTTCAGTTCAGACATAGTCCATATAAAACATAAAACATTTAAAATAGACAACAACGAAAGGATAAACCAACAACAGATAATATTGACGTGCTAAGGTGCGTAGAAACTCTTCTGGCCTGACACGGCTCTGCTCGGGGGCTGTTCGAACATTTATGATTTAATTTACCGGGTCTTCAGTCTCAAACAAGACTCCAGTAAATAAGACAAACGGGCAACGTGGTTAGCCCTCACTTTTCCGCAAGAAAGTCCTGGGTTTGATCCCGGTTTAAATCCTGGACCTTTTTGATTGGAGTTTGCACACTCGCCTCGCGTCTATGTAGATTGTTTTCTCTGGGTGCTCCGGTTTCCCCTACCATTAAATACATGTAAAAATAGGTAAAATCCTCCAGCTTCGGCCCTGACCAAGCCGAGATGGGTCGTCAGGCGCACTATACTGTTGTGCCCCTGACCGAGGCACTGGTGGTCTTGCAGGATATCGGTCAAATGCAGAGAAAAAACTGCTCTGTTGGACAAAAAGTGCGCCTTTAAATATTAGAACAAGAAGACAAATAGTAACAGTTTGAACATGAATATATATTTAACAAATGAAATTATTTTTTGTATGATTATGATTGACCCAAGCAGGAATCAATTGCTTTTTCTTGATATCTTGATTTTCTTATAAACAGTTACAACTTCTCTCTGAAGCCACATGTATCTGATAGAGTCCACTATATGTGCATGCTGCCGTACTGAACCTGTCAAAGCCATAATGGAGCTTTGTGAGTGCAGTGCTGGCATCCAAACAGGCTCCATGATGAGAGACAGGTGTTTCCTGGCTGCTCCATGCATTCCTCCTCCATCCCCACGGCCTCCTCCGGCTCTGGGCTCTCCGGCTCAGTGGGGGCCCCTAAACGGCCACTTCAGACCCAGCAGGAGGGACGAGGAGGCTGAGCAGGGCAGCAGCACTAGAGCAGGACTGGTTTTATGTAGCAGGAAGTCTGTCGGTCAGATATTACTGGAAACACTTCCCGGTGTATGGGTGTTTCCACTGGGATGGTCAGTGCGTGTGTTTCGGGTGCATATGACAGATTAGAAGACGTGAGGATAGGATAAATGTGCTGATATTAAATCGGACCTAGCTTTCCTCAGTTTGGCAAGTTGTGCATTTCATTAAAAGATATGATATTAAAACCACTGAATAAACTCGGGCCAAAGTGTATTTTTCCTAATGGTGCTTCAACTTTTTGACCAACAGCTTCCGCAATCCAATCCACTGTATCGATAAAGCATATATCTCACAACCCCACAGTTTACAAAGTGCTGGGAAATAAAAGCAAAAAAAAACTTAATAGCTCAATTAAGTCTTACCAGTGCTCCCAACTATGACAAACCAGTTAAATCATGGTAGAGCACAAGTCTTTTGGTGGTGTCTGTCCTGGACCTGTGTGTGCTTGTTTGTGTGTGTTTTTGAGATAAAAAGAGATAATACTAATAATAATACAAGGTTCTTAACTGACAAGAAACTATTTTCCATTGAAACTACCACTGTCACTGGCCCATATTCCGTTGATAGATACATAGATACATAGATACATAGATACATAGATACATAGATAGATAGATAGATAAATTGCTCTACCTGCCAAAAAGTGTACCTTACTGTACTATGAGAACAAGAAGACAATTAGTACATTTGAACATGCATTTATATTCTACAAATAAAATGACACTTTCCCAAACGACCCAAACAGGAATCAAATTTACCAACCATCAAGCAACTAATAATCAACTAATATAAGAATAATAATAATAATAGGTTCTTAACTGAGCTGAAACTATTTTCCATTCAAACTACAGCTATCATCAGCCTCGATCCCATTGATAGATAGATACTTGATTGATCCCCATCGGAGAAATCAATATCAAAGTATCTATCTATCTCTCAATGGAATATTTAGCAGGAGAACAGCTTTCATATATAGAAAGCAAGACATACTGTAATTGCTACAGTTGATTATTCGGTTTCAGGTTTGATAAGAGAGGCATAGAGTGTATTCAATAATGACGGTTTTGTATTTCCTCTTGTAGGATGTGAAGCTGGTTCTTTCGGCGCGGGCTGCTCTCAGGCCTGTGATTGTGAAGGGGGTCTTCCATGTGACCCTCAGAGTGGCCGCTGTCTCTGCCCCCCAGGACGAACTGGACACAGATGTGAAACAGGTATGATCTATGCTGTGTTTTCAAGTTCATTAAATGATCTTGTAAGATTCCTCAAATATCCATTTTGTTTGCTCGTATGAATGATTGCGATCCACGTCTGTTCCTCCCCAGACTGCGGCGATGGGACTTTTGGGCCCGGCTGCTCCCTGAAGTGTCTCTGTGATCAGGGGGCTCAGTGTGAGGGGGTGAGTGGGCGGTGTCTGTGTCCACGGAGCTGGCTGGGCCCCACATGTAGTGAAGGTAACAGTGCACCCCCCACATCTATACATTACAGCATTTTGAAATTTACTGTACCCCGCAAATTGTGCTGAGGGATATGGAAATTAGAATAGGCATAATTGGAAAAAAAAAAAAAAAATCTCTGAATAATTTTTGCATTAATTGATTCTTTTTTTGGCCCACAGTGCGGAAATATCATCAAAACTCACAGAATAGGAGGATTGAGGCGCACACATCACAATTTAAGTGAATATGAAGTATGGCACAACAATAAATACAAAGATATATTTTTAGCTTAGTTTATAAACAAAGTATAACAAGTATACAGATTTAAGGTATAAACCTGGTGCAAATAATTAAATACTTAAAAGTACCATACAATACACAATACAATTTATTCTTGTATAGCCCTAGGTCACAACAGAAGTAATCTCAGAGGACTTAACAAAACCATTGAAATCACCAACACAGGTCAGAGAATCAACAGTTAAAACACATGAAAAATATAAAACACACACAGAAGAAAATGTCCATACATGTTGTAGAATGCTAAAGTGTCCTGATCATCACCAATCCACTAACTGTCCAACAAGACCCTCCTGCATCGACAAGGAAAAACTCTTAAAAAAACCCAGTGGGAAAAAGTGAGAAACCTTGGGGAGAACTAGGGAAACCCACAGGGAGGGAGACCCATATGAGAAAGGGATCCGCTCCTCCGGACGGACAGGCTAATGATCCAGGACCTAAGCTAGCTACAGGACTGCTGTCCACGCTGAACGTGGACAGGTCCGGTGCAGGACTGAAGCACTCCCAGGCGGGTCGGGCGGGGCAGTCCGCAGGTGTAGACTGAGGAGGCCAGGCTCAGAGATCCTGTCATCGTACCATGAAACAGACAATGGGACAACGGGTGAATAGCAATGAACAAACTACAGTCAAAATCCTAAAAATGCTAAACAGATAAAGTAGGAAGGAGGAGAGGATAGTGCTCAAGTTCCCATACTTCTCCCAGCAAACTGACTCCCTATGCAGCTTGACTGACAGTCTGAGGAGTTTAGCCTTCCCTGAGTCTTACCTTCCTAGCCATATGCTAAACTAAAGAGGACTGTTTTAAACCTAGCCTTGAATAAAGAGAGCGTATCTGAAAGGAGGCGAGACAACAGCAGCCACGGCTAGGTTACAGCACCAAGATTCATGGATTGCACACCAGGTGTGCAAACTGATCCAAGCAAACCTAATTATGTATTATATATCATATACATCATATATACCACACATACCATATATATCATATATAATACATAACATAACATACAGCATAATATATAACATAATATACAACATAACACAATACATAACATAATACATATATTGTATAATATATAACATAATACAGCATATATACATAATATATACACCATATATTATATATTACCTAATTATATGCCAAAATAAAGTAGAGTGCTTTAAGCCTGGCCTTGAATGTGGAGACCGTATCTGCTTCCTTAACATAAATGAAGCTGATTCCACAGTAAAGGAGCTTGGAGCTAAATGCTCTGCCGCCAACAGTGATTTTTGAGACCTTAGGGACCACCAGACGTCTGGCGTTTTGTGAGCGCAACGCTCGACTTGGTTGATACGACACTAACGTGTCTTGGAGATAAGAGGGAGCCAAGCCATTTATGGCTTTATATGTTAAGAGTAGGATTTTAAACGTTATTCTGTACTCCACAGGGAGCCAGTGGAGTGATTTTAACACCGGAGTTATGTGCTCCCTTATGTTACGTGTATACATCTGTTGATACATCCAGTGCAAGAATATTGCACTAGAGCAATGATTCGTATTCACTGTGACTACTACAGTGTATGTTAGCATTATATTTTATTTTGTCACACCAGCAAAACATGAATTGACTAATATTGCCATGACTATTCTGTCACATTCTCAACAATTGCACTTATGGCAGGTCTGGGAACTACTTTTAGCTGTAGAACACATGCCTAATATTGTTACAACCATGAGATGTTTGTATGAAAATTAGGCAATTAATGGTCGGCTGCCCGTTATGGACCAATACCAATGTGTTTTCTGTTTTATTTCTTGCGTTTGAATTGTTCGATTCTCTGATCTGTGTTGGCAAATTCAACGTTTTTGGAAAATCATAATAATAATAACCAGCTAACTAGTTCCTCGCTCTCAGAATAGTTTTCACATCCATGTCTTTACGGCACTTCCACATACTTACATCAGCTTTTTAAGAAGTGAAAAAGAACGTTTTACTATGACAGTACTCCTTCTGTTGAGACAAACATAGCATATTATATATTTTTGCATCCTGAAGAAGGCCAACTTAGGCTGAAATGCGTTGGTGCGTATTTTAAATTACAGCCATGAGAAAATAAAGGCTTTTTGAACTCTCTAAACTATTGACCACAAGTGCCTTGGATTTTTTTTATTTTATAAGATCTTCATAATTTGCCTTTACCTGGAAAGTCAAAACTCATTTTTTTGTTACTAAGTTGAACCCCTCTACCAATTGAGCACCTGGTATTTTAAATAACTTTACACGCTTTTACCACGCAGCACTTATATTGCTACAACTGAAGGATTTATCACTACTCTTTTTAATGCACTGTGGCTTTTATTTTCTTTTCTATGTTTTTAATATTTCTTGTTATATTAATGTTTGTTTTAATCATATTTTTATGTCATATTTTTAATGTTTATGTAGATTTTAATGTCTATGATTTATGCTTGATGTGACATGGGTTGTGAGGCGCTTTGTGTTGCCTTGTGTAGAAAAGGCACTCTACAAATAAAAGTGAATTGATTGATTGATTAATTTAGGAAGAGAAACATTAGGTCCCCCAGCTTTAATCATCCATCATTTTATACCAACATCAATATCTGTGCATTTGTAGCTTTAATGACCAGCCATCTCAGCACAAACCTGCAACCTAACCATTTTGCACAGTTTGGTTTTTACTGCAAATGGCACTGGTGCACACTGGGGTAGTCTTGCACAGTTTTTCCAATGTGGTTTTACTGCAAATACAAATAAATTCTTGAATTCCTGAATCTTGACCAGCAGCACATCCACCAGACATAGATACAGTATGGATTTCTCCTTTACACTTACAGTCAAACAGCGCCCTGTCAGACAAGACCCAGGAAATAAAAACCGGCTTCAGCTTTAGTGAGACCCTGTCATGATGTGTGAGAGGCGGAGGCCCATCACTGTCCGCCCCAATCCCCTGTCCGGCCTTCTGACACTTACTTTAATGCAATCCCAGCGTGGAGCCAGGCGCGGGGCTGTCTCTGCTTACCCTCCTCAAAGAGAAACAGACGGGACGCTACATGCTCTTACTTACGCTGGAACATTTGCTTTTCATTTCCAAAATCGTGCTGATGTCTTCTTGTTCCCTTCTTCTCAGCGCTGCCGCACCAAACCCCAGAGCAGAGGGGCTTCTCCGGGTCTCAGAAGAGGAAGAGGAGGAGGACGGGCAGCAAAGGCACGTGAAATACAAGTCAGGATGGACGATTGTAGACAGCTCAAATCCTCTGGGAGAGAAAAGATGTCAGGAATGGCTGTGGGGGGAAAGTGAGCCTCCGCTGAGACGGGACAGTAGCGCTTACAAGAAAGACGGACAAAGACAAGTCAACTTGAAAACGATGTGTAAAATATGTGTTTAGTGTGCGGTCTCGTCTGTTGTCAAATGTATTTATTATTGTGTAGTAGACATAAAGTGCTTAAATAAGGAGATAAGAAGCGCGCAGTATGGGATGCAAATGGAGTAGAATTCAGGATTAATGTGGAAAGCATAAACATTTGTCTTTTGGTTTCAGTCCATCTCAGTTTGGCCTATCGCTGCGCTGGCTAAGCACACTAACTTATGTATAGTAAAAAAAAAAAAAAAGTGTCATGTTTAACCCTTTGATGCACAACATACGCACACCCCTATTAATGCACAACATGGGTCTAAAATGACCTGCATTCATTTCCCAGCTTATCTCATGCAGGCTGAGCATTTCTTTGCTGTTTCTTTTTAAATCAATGCATTTTATAATTCAATAATCCAAGTATTCTTTAAATATCTTGTCTTTTATTACCAAACATCAGCATTCATATTTTTCCTGCCTTACTTTTTGAACAAATTTCATTTTTGTATTACTATATCAAGATTACACACATGGGTCAAATATGACCCATTTATTCAATTGCGATTTAAAACAAAAATGAAGGCACATAATAATACAATTTTGCTTCAAATATCTATTTTAGATGGGATTTGGGCCAAACAACCATACATCTAACCTTTGAAACATGTTTATTTTTAATTTTGGAACACATACAAATACATCCGACAAAAAAACAAACAAAAACAAACTGGTGCATTGACCAAAATAAAATAAAATATAACTGATCACTCCGGTAGAGCACAACTTGTCAATTCAGTTCTCAAGATTCCTCAAATATAGAAAAAGTGACCACTACACAATTGTGCTCATAGTAAGTAAGTAAGTAAGCTTTATTTATATACCGCCTTTCACAGACCAGAGTCACAAAGCGGTTTACAATTGTTATTTTTTGGGCACTTGTCTCTCACTCCACACAGAGATGGGAGCAGGGTCGCCGAACAGGAGGTGCATGCCAGAACTATTGTACATATTTTTAGTGGTAGGGGAAACCGGAGTACCCGGAGGAAACCTACGCAGACACGGGGAGAACATGCAAACTCCACTCAGAAAGGCCCTGGTCCGGCCGGGATTCGAACCCAGGACCTTCTTGCTGAGAGGCAAGAGTGCTATCCACCCCCTCATAGCACGCAGGCCTCTTGCACTGGGAACACCAGCTGCTGGCTTTTCTGTCTGGCAGATGGGTAGATTGCACACCTCTTCCTCTTTCACTGGGCACTCCTGTCTCATGTCCTCTTGTGGCTAGGTGGTGGCTGTGTTTTTGTTTTTTGATCCCACATCTTCCCATTTCCTCTATGATATGCTTTTTGAGTGTGGGTGTGTCCTCCATGCGACAAGCTCTTTGCCCAGCTCCTAGATGAATAGCCGGCATGCATTGGTGACCTCACCCATGTAACCAGTGTGTTCTGCAGTGAAGTTGATGTAAGCATTGAGAGTGGCAATATCCAGCATATTGTACCAGAGCACCATAGGCCACCTCCATGTTCTCCATTGTGTCCACTCCTCTTTTTGTTCTGTTGTAGTACTGTGTCACTTCTGATTTCTTCTTCTGGCTGTCTTCATCCATTGCTCTGTTATCATGCATTGTGCTCAGGAGGATAACAGCCTTTGCCTTCTTCTGCACATGGTCATGTTGCCATTGAATCTGAATTCTTGGCTATGAATCACCCTTGACTTGGATGGCTTTATGATAGGTGGTATGTCTGGCTTGTTCTGGCGAAGGCCCACAATAGTCAGGTTCTTCTCGAGGAGCTTCTCAGCCAGAGGGAGACTGGTGAAGAAGTTGTCCATTGTGATGTTGCAACCGAGAGGGTGTGGAAAGCAGTGTGCTATAACTTATACATTATGTAAAGCTTTAATTTCCATATTCTATAATCACTTGTCTGTCTGATTCCGCTGCACAATTTTAGAACAATATTCTTCCCAAGGTTCTTCTGCTTCTTCATCTATGGTGACACAGTCACCATAGCCGGCATGCATTGGTGACCTCAACCATGTAACCAGTGTGTCACCATAGATGAACTGTCTTCTGCAATTGACTTGTCCGCTGTCAAAATATTCCTTATTAAACGTGCTCAAATTCAAAGCTTCTTACTGAATGCCACAGTGAATGCATGTGTGTGAAGTTGATGTAGGTATACAAATGTTGAGCTTGTTCATAGAGTAAGAAAGGAAACATAAAAAATATTATTTGTGATGAATAAAAACATGTTATTTACTGTATACATGGAGTAATAAATGATTATATTTATATATTACAAAGGTGTAGCAAAGCAACACTCAGCCATACATGAAATTACATAGAAAATGGATGCGGGTCATTTTTGACCCATGTTGTGCATTAGAGGGGTAGTGATACACTTTTTTATTCAAAAAGTAAGAAAACAAATAATAAAATGAGGATGTTTAAAGATCAAAAACAAGTTAATTGAGGAATACCTGGAATACGAAAAGATTAAATTAATCCATTGCAAAGATAAAGAACATAGAAACTCAGTCGGGTCACTTTTGACCCATGTTGTGCATCAAAGGGTTAAAGGTACTCTGTGTAATTTTTTCAGTTGATCCAAATGAAAAAAAATGACCTTTTTAAGAATATTTACTTCCACAATGTTTTGTTATCATAGGTTTAGAAATTGAATTATAAATGTCCATGAGGCTGGAGGACTCTATATGTCAATGTGCCATCTTGAACTACAGTGGTTGATAAGGGACAAAAAGTAAGCTTGACCGGGAGTCAAAGACGACATATTGTCCTGCTAAGCTACCGTAGTTCAGTAGATTTATGATACTGTATATGATCTCAATGCTAGATGGGAGTAAAAATTACACAGTGTACCTTTAAAGTTGGGCACCTAATGTTCAAACCACAAAAAAAATAAACAAAAATGGTAGAATCCATCCTCTTTCTTAGCTCCGAAAGCGGTTTTGGTTTTGGTTTTTCACGTGTATGGCCTCTGTCGTTTGTTTAGAGCCGATTTTTCCGATCAAAAATTGAAAAATAGATGACCAGCTTCACTCAGCCAATCAGCTCTCAGCCCAATGCGTCAAATAGTGACTCACAGGGCTTTGTGGTTTGTTCATTACATTTTACTCAAACACACACAAGTTTCACACATGTTTTTGTCTCAGCAAAGCTTAAATTGTTGGAAAGGGAAGAGGTCAAACAGCTACATGTTTTTTACGATAATGACAAATGCTATATATATACAGTATATATATGTATGGACGTTCCAAATGACTAAATTGGTAAAAAAAAAAGGTACCAACCAAGAATCCTCAAAAGATTAGAAGGCCGATATCCAAACGCAACTAGACTTAAATCACATCTAAACCAAAATAAAATAAGCTCCTGGGCTTTAGGTTGTATCGGCCTTCCCAAACTTTTACTGTCTGAATTAACATAATTTTTTAAGTACAAACAGACCACATGCTTTAAGTCTCTGTAATAATAATGCTTTTACTGTATATATGTGTACTTTTTATAGGATTAAGTGGCATTTTATGGTGAGATAGCACAAATACAAAGCAGCTATAATGTTAGTATCAGCCTTACAGCAGTACAGGAGGGTTGATGTATGAACATGTTATGAATTGAAATGTATCTTGTCCCTGTGTTGCAGACTTTCGTGTGTAGCACTGTTGTTTGTGAATAGTGTAAATGAATTGGTAATTGACACGTTTTGTAAATATTCAGCTGCTCAGTCCATTCTACAAGTTTGTGTCAGCTCTATTGTGTCTCAGGTCTTCTGCAGCTCACTCACTTATCAAACACATATTTTCATGGTGCTACATTTGATTTGTAAATTTTTTTTGCCTTGCTGTTTTCTGTTTGTTTTCTGTGTGTTTGTAGCAGAATGGAGCAAATAAAATTACAAATGTACTGAGGCTGAATTAAGTGATTTACTACTTTATTTGTTCCTAATGAGCCACACAGAGAGCGAGTCTTTTCACAGACTGTTTGGACAATAAGAATTTAGGTATAAGAGCTTATAGGTACATTTCAGACTGAATCTACTGTATGTGTGCAGAAAATTAGCGATCTGGATTAATACAGGGACATGTATGTAATTTCAAAATGTATTTCAATAATTCAACTGAAAATATGAAACCATTTTGTGACGTAGACTCCATGCACAGTGACAGTGTAAAAACCCCAAATAAAACATTTCCCAAAAATTAGTCTATATTGACTGTATATGGACTGTAAACCATAATAATCTGAATTATTACAAAACAAAGACATGTCTTAATTGGGGTTTTTTACAGCTATGTGTGAATGATCAAGATTAGATAGATACAGGTGTCCAGAAGCAGCAAAAAAAAATTTGATCATTCTAACAAGATAACAATAGTAATAATAATCAGCAACAGGCCTTCAGGTCACAGCGGCAGAGATGGAGTAGCCACTGGGTGGAGCAGGACGGGTCACAGCAGCAGAGGTGGAGTAGCCTCTGGGTGGAGCAGGACGGGTCACAGCGGCAGAGGTGGAGTAGCCTCTGGGTGGAGCAGGACGGGTCACAGCGGCAGAGGTGGAGTAGCCTCTGGGTGGAGCAGGACGGGTCACAGCGGCAGAGGTGGAGTAGCCTCTGGGTGGAGCAGGACGGGTCACAGCGGCAGAGGTGGAGTAGCCTCTGGGTGGAGCAGGACGGGTCACAGCGGCAGAGGTGGAGTAGCCTCTGGGTGGAGCAGGACGGGTCACAGCGGCAGAGGTGGAGTAGCATCTGGGTGGAGCAGGACGGGTCACAGCGGCAGAGGTGGAGCAGGACGGGTCACAGCAGCAGAGGTGGAGCAGGACGGGTCACAGCGGCAGAGGTGGAGCAG